CTGCCTCAATCAGCAGTCAGGTCAGCTTGCTGCTGTTTGAAAGCATTATTTTCTTTTTAATTCCTGGGCTGGAGGTTGTTTGGATCCATAAGCTGATCTGACCTGACACATGGCTTCCAGTCGTTAGTGCAGACACAAAGGGGGTGAGGAGGCTGAGACTGTCCCTTGCAGAGCCAGGAGATTTTATCCTGCCTTAAACCCACAGAGAAATCCCAGCTTCTGCTCAAAAATGGTGCAAAAATTCCCACTTCACTTATTCCAACTTCTTACCTGCTCCAGAAGTTGCCTCATAGGTGCATAAATAACTTCCAGCTCTTGTCTTGCCCAAATCTTGTTGGAATCCAGGATTTTGGAGCTTCCTTAGGACCATGTTTGCAAACACACCTATATTTTTGATTTTTTCAGCAGCAGGTTCTTTAGGTTTAACTGTGGTTATGTAGATGGTGGATCCAGAGCCACTTCCAGGGAAGCATCCCAAGGCCCACAGGTTGGTGTGGAGGTTGTTTCCTTTTGAATTTGTGCTGCTGGAGCAAAATGAAAAGGAGTGCTTGTTTTGGAGATGGGAAAAGTCATGGATTTTTGTTCCCAGGACAGTCTTTTTGTTTTTGGCAGATGACTGTTTAATGTGAAATCCAAGAAAATGCCTTTATTTTCCCCACTCTGACTTTATACACAGTTTAGCCTGTATTGTTTCAAAGCATGTTGTAAGAATTCTAATTATTCTCTTCCCTATTTCTGAATGGCATCTTTCTTCAGGCACACAGCTCTTCTGTGTTTAGTGTCAGCCTTTGAATATAATGATTTATCCACACTTGAAATGACATTGAAAATTTTTCTGTGAAGGAGCTTTTTCAAAGAATTCTCTCATTCTCTCACTTCTTAAATAAGGCAAGGAAAAATATTCTGCTAAATGTCTGTTTAATATTAAGAATGAAAGAAATATCTTTATTGGACGTAACATCTTACTGTGAAATAATGAATGTATCATTTGCTGTGTGCAAATTCCACATTTTATGTCAGGACACACAGCACTGACATGCAGATTTACCTGGCAGAAATGTTTTAGCAGCTTAATCTGAGATCTTTAAGTATTTTTAAGGGCTGCACCAAAGTTATAATTTATTTGAAAAATAATGAACATAATTCAAGGAGAGTAAAATTGCTAACCTAAAAAGTTAAAATAAGGAAGGAAATGCCCAACCTGTGAGGATTCTCCTCCCCCAATTCTTCTTCCCTTTTTCTGCCCAGCACTTGAACTGATCAGAAAATGCTTCCCCAGAGCTCAAGAAGACAAAAACCTCATTTATTTTGCTTTCTCTGCTCTGGTCTTCTTGCACAGGCCCATAGTACTACTTCTTTTAAATGATAAATGTGTTTTTTTGGGTCACTCTTGTGTGGGAGCCTTTGAAATTAAAATTTAAATATCTTAGGAATAGCTAACCTTGTTTCATAGGTAATGCTTTTTAATAAAATGGAAGAAGTCTTTCCCCATGAGTTTCCATAGTTGTTCTTTGTCAAATTGAGTTCTAACCATTTTTCTATAAGTGATCAGTACAGGTAGGGGGAGAAATGGTGAGAAAATCAAGGTGTGTGTTGCTGCTCTGTTTATAATGCATAAGAAGTTCTAAAAATGTTACAGATCCTTAAAAACCTGTTTTTGTCTGGAGAATTAACTTTGCCTTCCCTGTTGACATGAGTAGCAAAAGAATAATTGCATCTTGTTTTTGAGGAGCTGAAGGAAAATCTCCTTTGTGTGCCCTCAGCATTTTTTCCTGTTGACTGTTTCTTTCCTCACTTTGAGCAGGAACAGGAACATGCATCCTCTGATATGGAAAATGTTTTATTAAAAATCACTCAGGGAGCTGCTTGCTGGGTCAGTGCAGAAGGCCTTGGACATACTTCTTCTCCTTTCAATTTGTCCTTCAGATCCTTTCAGAAATCATGGAAATAATTCCTTTGCAGGCAGGTCAAGAAGCATTTTGAGAAGGATTTCACTTATGGACAGCTTTGTACAAAAAGTTGCTTTCATGTTTTTGGTTTTTGTTTTTTTTCACAGAGGCTCCAGCAATCCTGCAGCTGCTCCTCAAATAACTGTGGGCTTGTGTAATTTGTGTTGCTGTTTCCATACCAACAAATGAAATAAGTCCAATTTGTGCCCACAGTGAAGAGTCTGGGGATTTTTTTTTCTGCTCTTTATCTCGTGATATGGGAAGTATAAAAAGATGAGCTCTGAAGAGCTTGGAGTGAATCATCTGTCAGCCGGCTGCTCTGGGCTCCTGTTTAATGATGGGATGGAAATTTGCCAGAATAAGATAAAAAATAATTTTGTGTAGCTGTGAGATTCAGGTTTAGGTGAGGTTTGAAAGAATGACTAATTAGGAGTTGTTTAAATGTGCAGCATGAAGTTCAGTGTGGAGTTCCTGGCATCACCCATGTGGGCAAACATCTGATTGTACCTGATTAAGTCTTTGCTGTCATCAGGGGCTTTAATTTCTGTTTCCATATCTAAGAGTGGATTAAAATATCCATCCATCCATCCATCCATCCATCCATCCATCCATCCATCCATCCATCCATCCATCATCCATCCATCATCCATCCATCCATCATCCATCCATCCATCCATCCATCCATCCATCATCCATCCATCATCCATCGTCTATCATCCATCCATCATCCATCCATCCATCCATCCATCCATCCATCCATCCATCCATCCATCCATCCATCCATCCATCCATCCATCCATCCATCCATCATCCATCCATCATCCATCCATCATCCATCCATCCATCCATCCATCCATCCATCCATCCATCCATCCATCCATCCATCCATCATCCATCCATCATCCATCATCCATCATCCATCCATCCATCCATCCATCCATCCATCCATCCATCCATCCATCCATCCATCCATCCATCCATCCATCATCCATCCATCCATCATCCATCCATCATCCATCCATCATCCATCCATCCATCCATCCATCATCCATCATCCATCCATCATCCGTCCATCCATCATCCATCCATCCATCCATCCATCCATGCATCCATCCATCCATCATCCATCCATCATCCATCCATCCATCCATCCATCCATCATCCATCCATCCATCCATCATCCATCCATCATCCATCCATCATCCATCATCCATCCATCCATCCCTCCATCCATCCATCATCCATCCATCCATCATCCATCATCCATCCATCATCCATCATCCATCCATCATCCATCCATCATCCATCCATCCATCATCCATCCATCATCCATCCATCCATCCATCATCCATCATCCATCCATCATCCATCCATCCATCCATCCATCATCCATCCATCCATCCATCCATCCATCCATCCATCCATCCATCCATCCATCCATCCATCCATCATCCATCCATCCATCCATCATCCATCATCCATCCATCATCCATCCATCCATCCATCCATCATCCATCCATCCATCCATCATCCATCCATCCATCCATCATCCATCCATCATCCATCATCCATCCATCATCCATCCATCCATCCATCATCCATCCATCGTCCATCCATCCATCATCCATCATCCATCCATCCATCATCCATCCATCATCCATCCATCCATCCATCATCCATCCATCCATCCATCATCCATCATCCATCCATCCATCCATCATCCATCCATCATCCATCCATCCATCCATCATCCATCCATCCATCATCCATCCATCATCCATCATCCATCCATCCATCCATCCATCTAATATAAATTGAAATATTCCAGATAAAAAGAACAATTGAGGGATTCAGAACTGAAACATTTGACCTAAAAAGGGATAAAATAAATGCTGGGGACTGCAGTGACATTGTGCTTATCACTTATCCTTTATCACTGATGTTTGAATTTCACTTAAATTTGCCATAATGGAAACCTTTCATGTGCATTCCTTCTTTCAGAAAAAGTAGAGCATAATAATTGTACTATTGCTGAAAAGACCTATTTGCTTTTTTACTTGGCTAAAGTAATGCTGAAAATAGAAATATTTGACCTTCCTTTATTGTTTGTTTGAACTGCTCATAAATTTAGCTCTGTTTGAGTGTTTCTGTGAGAGACATTTGTTTCCTGGAGCTGAACAGCTCATATAAACAAGTCTATAAACAAGAAATCCCTTTCAGTAATATCAACAGTGAAATTTCTTGTCTTTTATCTGTGTTTAAACAAACTCCCAGAATGTTGCCTGGAAGTACAAATTGTGTTGCTCTCTGTGTGGCTGTTGTAGCTGAAAGATGCATATTGGGCAACTGAATTAAAATTTATATAATGAACTATTCACTTTGATTATAAAAAATCTGGCTGTTGCAGATGGAATTTTTGCCTGGTTTAAAGATAAATATTGGACAGCTGAATTAAAATTTGTATAATAAATGACTAATTTTGACGGTAAAAAACCTCAGCAATACTTGGCATTGTTTCATTTATCTTTTGAATATTTGAATTGATGATCTTGGAGGTCTTTTCCAACCATAATGATTCTCCTGATGGTGCTGGAGGTGCCAAAACCTTTTACCAAATTTTTTCCCAAACTTTTTTCCAAACTTTTTCCCAGACTGTTGGGATATTGGTGCAGCCGTGGCCCCTTCTGATGTTACTTTGTTTTTTCTTCTCTGACAGAAAAGGGAATTTCTGCTGGCCAGGTGGAAGCCAACCTGAGCAGCAATTTTTGCCAGGTTGGAGATTAACAGAGCTCATGTATTTAAGGAATAGTTAAAATTCCTGTCTTCTCTCAGTGCTGTGGGCTTCATCTTTTAGTGGGCAAAAATAATCAGGAATGGCTTGATTTAAGGTCCATATCTCAAGGAAAAAAAAAAACCAAAACCCAAATTGAAGTGTGTCCATTTACTTTCAGTAGCAAAGAAAACAAAGCTGGGTCAGCTCTTCAGCCTCCCAGTTTGACATTTCACAGCAGTGACCTTGAGGACAAATTCTCTTTTTTTTTTTTTTCGCAGCTGCAGCCGCCTCCGAAATATTCAGAGTATTTTGACACAGAGCAGCAAATCTCAGCCTGATGGAATCCTCTGCATTTTAGGTTAGTGTTACAATTTTTGTTCTCGTTGTGCTGATAAAGATACCACGAGTTGCAGAAAGAAGAAATTCATCTTGTTGCTGCAAACCCCAGCCTGGTTTCTCAGCTGATGTTACACTCTCTTCTCCCTAAACAATTCTTCATTCTGTTTACTAATTTTGAGCAAAGAATTTTCAACAGTGGCCTAATAAACCTGGAAAGCAGTTAGGAGTTAAATGTTAAAAATTCATGTGGTTTCAGTGCTTTATTTCATCTGGGATTAGGAGAAAAGGGCAGCAGGAAATAAAGGTGCACGTGCAAGTGTTCTGTGGGAAAACAACAGGGGTTTTGTATTGCTTTAATACCATTTCAGTGATTCTTATTTCATATTATATAATCAGTGTCAAGATCTTAAAGGAAAAATGCAGACTTTATGATTGAAAACTTCAGTCCTTAGAGAAAAGGACTGAGGAGTAATTGTTTAAATCATATATTGCAGTTAAATAGCAGAAATGGGATGTAGCCCTAAAGAAGCTCTGTGTAGGAAGTGATACCACAGTCTGGGTTTTTTGGGTTTTATTCTGTTTTTTAATGATGTAGCAAGAGAACTTAAAGCTCATTTACTGGACCACAGCATAAAATTTATAAATAGATATATAGATGTCACCCTGTTCTTCTAAAGTTCTTCTAAGCCTTCTAATGTTTACATTTTTGTAATGGAGTTTCTCACGTACATTTCATGTAAATAATGATTGTTTTGCATTCCTTTCTAGAAGAGGAGGGAATTGATGGACTGTTAGTTTGACCAGTGTGGTTAGAGAGGTAGCAATTTCATCCTCCAATCCATGGTCACTTTTGGAATTCTATAAATATCAAGGTCCAGAAATAAATGTACTTTTTTTAACCTTAAACATCTCAGCATTTGAGTGTCATTCATTTAGTGTTGTATTATGACATATATATAATTATATATATAAATAGATATATTAAATAGCTGATTTATAATAGATAATAATTTATAAAATGTATAAATATGAAGTGTTAACTGTACATGACCCAGCATTCTCTGGGGTAAGAGGTTAAGTCTCTGACTAAGTAGTAACTGTACAGCCAGAAGCTCTGTGAGGTCACTGTGTCAGCCTTCCAGTGAAACTTAATCATACAGGGTAAACTCCTTGGTTTCTGCCTTTGCTGCTAATTTAACTCCATAAAACATGTTAACTAATGATGACACTGCAGTATTTTTTAATTATTGTGAACTCTGAGACTGCAGAAAGTCCCAGGTAAGGAACAGTTGTTGAAAACATGGCCCAGCTTTAAGGAAAGCAGAGGAATTGCTGTGTGTAATCTTCAGTGTTGTGTGGAGGATTTAATTCTCTTCAGAAGAACACACCTCTTCATAAATTCCATCATGAGGTATGGAAATGTGGGAGGTGTGTTTTGTTGGGAGATTTGTGCTTTGCCCTGATCTCTCAGCACCCACAATGGGACTCTTGTCTGCTCTGGCCTGGCTCCTGTAGCCTGCAGAATTTCTGGCATAACTTGCATGAAACAGGCATGTCACTGTTGTAAATGCATTAAATCTGTCATCAAACACAAGCTTCTGATGACAAAATCCATGTAGTTTACATCCTCTTGACTTGTGTGGAAAGTGGATACTCACAACTAAGGGTTTTTCCAGGCAGTGCATGTTCTGTTTCACTTGGCTGCTTTTCATGGCCTGCAGTTAATGCAGTTCCCTCACCTCAACTTCAGCTTCATATTGGGCTGGGAGATAAAACCAGAATAAACTTCCACAGCTTTACTTCAAGTTCATTAATATTTGTACTGAAATTAAACCCAGCATTGTGAGAGCCCAGAGAGAGATGAGAACTGACCCACTGTTGATACAAGCATTTAAATGGAGTTACAGCTGATTTTTAAAAAGAATCCTCTAATCTGATTTTGAAGGGCTTGCATGGTGACATTCCTGCATTCTTTACTGGGGAGGAAAGGCCTCACAACTGACAAGAAAAAGGAATTTGGGGGTTGGCATGTCAAATGGCTTTAAAAAGCTGTCATGTCTCAGCTGAGTGTGTTGCTGATCAAACTGATCTACTTAAATTATACTGGAAATTATTTTCTATGATAATGGTGTTTCTTGGCATCTTAGCTTTCAGCAGAGATTTTCAGCTCCTGGTTCAGTTGCTGTGATTTCTGTGAGCAGGGGGTGTCTGTAGCTACTGGAGCTGTAGCTGCTCTGATTGTGGATTAAATTGTTTCACCATTCACCTCAGCTGAGCTGCATTTTTGCAAATATTGATATTTATTTTCTATTCTCCTCAAAGAGTGTGGGGATAATTTCGAGGCTTTCCAGTATTTATTCTAATTTGGTTCTGTTCACATATTGCTTTTTTAGATTATAAATAATCTAGGTGATTTATTTAGATCATATATATAATATAAATATATATTAGCTATATAGTCGAAATATATAATATATATAAGTATAACATGATATGAAATATATAATTATATAATACGATTATATATTTTATAATCAAAATACATAATATATAAAATTATATATTAAAATATTTAATAGCTAAAATTATATATTAAAATATATAGTATATATGATTATATATTTAATTGAAATATATAATATATAATGCATGTAATTATAATATTATATAATACATATAATATAATTATGGTATGTTATATATGATTATTATATATTAAATATGGTATATTATATATTTAGATGATATATAATCTAAATAGATAATATATAATATATATAGTTATAATATGATATGAAATATATAATTATATAATACTATTATATATTTTATAATCAAAATATATAATATATAAAATTATACATTAAAATATCTAATAGATAAAATTAAATATATATAATATATATATTATATATTATAAATTACATATATATATGATTATATATGTAATTGAAATATATAATGCATGTAATTATAATATTATATACTACATATAATATAATTATGGTATGTTATATATGATATATTATTTATTAAATATGGTATATTATATATTTAGATGATATATAATCTAAATAGATAATATATAATATATAAAGTAGAATATATTTATAGAATGTATTTATATGATATATTTATATAATATATATAATGTAAATAATGAATCTAGATTATTTAAAATCTAAAAAAGCAATATGTGAACAGAACCAACCAAGATAGTGTTCACATAATCTTTTTTAGGTTATTATTTCTCCATTATCTCCATCCCACACAGAGCTGTCCCTGCTGGGGTTTCTCCCACATTCTGAGAACCTTTAGCCCATCACTCTGATTGTTCATCCCATTCCCTTTCCAAACAGAGATTTTTTAATGATTACTCAGCAGCAATTCCAGAATTTTGTTGCTTTTGGGCCAATATCTGAAGATAATGCGTCCATTCCCTCCATCCTCTCCCTCCTGCTGTCCCCAGGTGCATTTTGCATCTCTGGGTATCTCACACCCACTTGATTTTATCCAGCAGACAGATTTCCCCCCCTGCATTTGGCCAGAATGCTTTTGTGAAAAATGCATATTACATGGTTGGCTCTTTGTAAATATTAAAATGGTCATGTTGGAAAGTTATGTTGTATTAATCTCTTTTTAAGTAGTGTGGTAAATAGAGTTTTTAGGCTATAGCATGATATTAAAATAGAAATTATGTGATGTAAGAGACTTTTTTGTAACTGACCTAAGGCATGGAAAAGATAACCAAGGAATTCTCATTGTCCTCTCTGGATGGAGATACAACAGGATTCCAAGGACAGAATTACTGCCTCCTTATTGGGAAGGCCCAGACTCCAGGGAACCAAGGCCATTTACAAGAGGAAGGGGGAAAGTTGACAATAAACAGAAGAATCCTCAGTTTGAAAGAAATTTTTGCATCATGTATGAGATATATGAATATGCAACAGGCTATTGCTTTTAAGGGTTAATCCTTTGTTAGAGAGCTCTGCTTTTTGGGGCTTAGTGCTCAGGGAGCATCTGTAGAGATCCATAATTCTTTGCTTTTATTGTCCTAACTCTGATTGTCCAAATTCTTATTGCTCTAATTTTTTTTTTATTACCATTCTTATATCTATTTTATTACTCTTAAACTTATACAATTTTAAAACAAACGATTGGCTTTTTTCACACTTTCTGCCAGTTTAGCAACCCGAATGGGCTCTCTGAGGGGCAGCTGAGCCCTGCCTGGGGAGCAGAGCAGGAGCCTCAGGCTCAGCCTGACTCAGGGTGTGCTCACAGCCCTGGCCCGGGCTGGGGACAGGAGGGGGAGTTCCAAACTCCCAGCTCAGCTGGAGACAGGCGTCGGGCTTTCCTAATGAATGGCCTTGCCCATTGTTCTGGGGAGGACTCCTGATATGCTCTTATCTTGGTCATTGTTTCGTTTCCTGTTTGTTTTCTGCTAGCTGTATCTGTTCCTTTAACTCCATATGTTGCTGTGGAATAGCACTAAAGTCTCAGTGTGAAAGCTCCTGTCTGGACAGGATACTTGAAAGGCCCAAGTAAACCACAAATTCCAAATATTCTGCAGAATTCGTGGTTTTATGGTAAACAATTACCTTCCCTCTGCGGCTGTCAATGCTCTTCAAGCAGTAAATTCACCCATGTCCTCTATTATAAGAGTTAAATTTGTCAGCTGTCCCCCTTTAAGATCTTTTGTTTTGTCTTCCCCTCCTTCTGTCATTAACTGAAAAAGCAGAGGTTTGACATTTGGTTTGGAAGATCTTCCCTTCTCTAAGCTGCTGTACCCAGATAAAATCTCAAACTCTTCAAGTGATGGTGACATCAACTTTTTTTTTTTTTTTTAAGTGGGGCTAGTTTCTCATTTTTCTTCTGATCTTCCAGAAATTAGAATCACAGAATCATAGAATAGTTTAGATTGAAGGGACCTTAAAGCAGTTCCAGCTTGGTGCCATGGCCAGGGACACCTTCCACTGTCCCAGGTGGCTCCAGGCCCCATCCAGCCTGACCTTGGACACTTCCAGAGATCCAGGGGCAGCCACAGCTGTGCCAGGGCCTGCCCACCCTCCCAGGGAACAATTCCTTCCCAATCTCCCATCCATCCCTGCCCTCTGCTACTGGGGAACCATTCCCTGTGTCCTGTCCCTCCTTCCCTTGTCCCAAGTCCCTCTCCAGCTCTCCTGGAGCCCCTTTCACAGTGGAAGGGGCTCTGAGATCTTGCTGGAACCTTCTCTTTTCCAGCTTTTTCAGTCTGTCTGTGCCAGATTATTTATTGCTCCTCTGAGCCCTCAGAAGGTGCCTCAGTTAGGCAGGTAATCAGTGGAACAGATTATCCTCAGGGGATTGTGTGTGCTCACTTCCCAAGGCTGCAGCTGATTCCATCGAAGTGGAGTTTCCTAAAACAATGGAACAGTTTCTTCCTGAAAGAAGAGAGTTTTCTTGTTTGTAACTAAAATCCCACATAGGCACAAGGGGCTTTGCAGCTATATTTGTATGTTGAGTCCCACTGAATTCCAGATTACATTGGTGTGCCTGCTTTCATGGGGCTGAAAATATAAATAAAATAGAGGGACACCTATGAATGAGAGATCAGAAACAGCAGGAGAATGAGGATTCCAAGATTTATGGCTGGAAAAAAACAAAACCTTTGAGGGCTGAGAAAGCTGGGATAGATGTGAGGCAGCTTTCCACCAAATCTCAGATACCTTGGAGTACATGGGAGCTACCAAAGTTACTGGGCAAACAAAGAGTTTGTTAACATGTGGAATTCAGTAGCTGGATGCAGACACATCATCTGGTTAGCACCCTAAAGCTGAAACACAACATGAAAAAGGAGCATAAACAGGAGAACCTGAGGTTTGTTCCAATTTTTGCCAAGTTCAGGTGACTCTTGACTGGTTTGGTTTCCAATTCAAGTGCTCAGACTCAGATGTTCAGGCCATGTCATTACATTATCAATGTCCTGATCTCTCTTTTAGCAGTGCTAAGAAATCCTATTTTGTTGGCAGCCATCTCACTGTATCCTAATGTAATGAATCCAAATTTGTTGGCAAGGATTCCACTGAATTCTAATATAACTTGGTAGGAAAATTTGCCATAAGAGGAGTTTTTTTGGCAGTCAGGACTGGTGAGCTCTGTGAAATGTGGGTGGCAAGGATGCTGCTTTTTGTGCACTTGTATTTGTTTGAAAAAACTGGCTTTATTACATTAGAATTATGACTCTGACTGTCATCCAGAGGGATGAAGATTGATGAAAATAGTTTCTAAATCTGTGACCTCATTCCTTTCTTCTTGAATTTATCTTCTATCTCTCCATGCTCCAGATCTTCAGTTCTTTTCATTTAATTTTCCCAAGAAGCAGGAAAGGTTTCCTTGGAAGCTCTTTGTGCTCCATATTTTTTGTCAGAACATCTTTTTCACAATTTGTCACAAGTCTGCAGTGGCTCTCTGGTGACTCAGGGATTGCTCTATAACACTGATAAGATAATGTTTAATCATGTATTCTAAAGCAGGAGATTTGGGTCACAGGATTAGTTTGTTAGGAAGCTTCAATCAAGAACATATTAATTAGAATGCATCCTGCATCCAGACAGATGTTTGAATTACTAGAAAAAACAGAAATTTGAATGCAGAAAACAATATATTTAATTTTTTTAAGGAATACTCATGGATTTAGGTTAAAAGGGGGATGTCAGCATGTGGCAGTGATCTTGCAAAATCTCCTTTTCCCCTACCCTGTTCTCTCAGTGTGTTCAGTTGGGGAGTTGAGTTCATACTCCTCCTTTAAAGCTTAATAAATTGAGGAAGAAAATAAACTTTTCAGGTGTGCAGTGTTGGGACACACAGCAATTCTCCTGTGGTTTTGCTTTTCAGGGATAGACAGTCGATACAATGAAGGGTGCAGAGAGCTGGCAAATTATCTGCTCTTTGGTTTGTACAACCAGAACAACAATGACTTTGAAAGGACAGGTTTTCCTGAGGAAGTTCTGGATGGTGAGTAATGTTCTCAACATTTTTTACCTCTTCTGGACAGAAGATGAGCAGAAAAAGGGACATACAAAAAAAAAAAAAAAAGAAAAAAAATAAAGGTCATTAAGTCTCAAGTTGTCTGTATATGCCTGAAAATATCTTCTTAGAAACAATGCTGAAGGACTCATTTTTAAACATAAAAAGATAAATTGTGGAGCATAAAACATATGAAATATATCTCAAATGTTGTAAACTTACACAATTACAGCCCATTAGTTCAGTCAATGTGTGTATGTACATGTTATTAATATTATGTGATCACACCTCTGCACTTCTGAAATACTTGAGCTCTTTTTTATTTCACCACATTGACTCACCTTTGTCACACTTGGAATGTGGCCAGTCCCTGGGATCACAGCTTGTTCTTCTTCCCTTATTTGCATGAAACTTTTGGTTGTTGGCCGTGGTGTTGATAGTTTTTCATTGAAGCAGCTCTGATGTAACGTCAGGCAGGAGCAGCTGGAGTTTAGAGTTCTGGAAGTGCTCTGGGAAGGCTCATCCTGAGCCTCTGGACTGCACAAAGGACAGGCTGATGCAAGTTCTGTGCAAGCCTTGGGAATTCCCCCCCAGATTTCTGGAACAGTTACAAGTGCTCTTGTGCTTGGAACTCTCTGTGGCTGCCAACTGCTCCTTCTTCTTGTTTGAAAGAAATCAGGAATTGCATTCAGATAGCTGAACAATTTTCTTTTTTAATGAGGTGCATAATAGAAAAAATGTTTTCTCTCCAGTTTCTCTTGTGTGTGGAGTCCTGATGCTGGAATATTTGTTGTGCTTGTTGCAGATATAATCATATTAATAAAACCTGACAGTGTTCATCTGTACTGCAACCCTGTGAATTACAATCATCTTTTACCCTATGTGGCACACTGGAGGAACTTGCATTTCCACTGTCTGACTGAAAATGAGGTGAGTGAAAAGTGAATGCACACAAGATTTGCTAATGAACTTGTTAATGAATTGATCTTTAAAGTGAAACTTTTAAAAACATTCTTTCCAGAAGTCTTTTTTCTCTTTCCTCCTCAGCAGGGGAATGATATGTGTGTACATCTGGGTATTAATCATTTGCTAAAGTGTGCAACAAGAATATGTTGTCAATACTTTCATTTGTTGGAGTGTGAGGACAAATTGCTCCTCTCTCCCACTAATTGCTGTTGTTTTGACCTGAGTCAGTGATCTTTTAATGAGAAAAAAAAATGTGGGTTGTGAAAAATGCAAAATGTGAATCAGGTATCGCAGTCAACGCTGAGATTTCCCACATCAAAGCAAAAGCAATGTTTGCATTGGCTGCCAATACTTTTAGAATATTAGGAAAGATGGGCTTAGTAAGTCCTTTAAAAGAAAGAAACTTCATTATGTATTTTCATTTTAACTATTAAATCTGTCTTGTTGAGAACTGTTGACCTCACTTCCCCTACATCCCATGACTGATGCGAGTTTCATCTTGAACTTAAAAGTCAAAGTATTCTACAAAAAGCCCATTTATTGTTGTGAAGCATTTTTAGAGGAGTGAAAAATGAAAATACTCTTTGTCTGGGTGTAGAATAAGGACCTTTTCATTCCAGTGGAGACTGGAAATGCTTCTTCCTCCATTGAGTTCTGTGTAGTTCCTTTTCTAAGTCAGAATTGTTCTGAATTCTGCAGGGAGTGGGTTTGGAGCCTGTGGTGGGGAGTGAAGCTGGTGGAAAAAGGAGTGGCAAAGTCAGGGAGAGAAACTTTCTGTTCTCTTGAGTTTCCAGCTTGGAAGTGATGGGGCTTACAATAGACTGATTGTGTTTTTATGTGTCTGGTTGATAGCTTAGATCACAGAATTAGGAAATAATTCAGATTACAAGGGACCTCTGGAGATCATCTTGTCCGAGCTCCTGCTTCAGTGGTGAGATCAGATCAGATTTCTCAAGGCTTTTTTGCAGCTGGGTGTTGAAAGCATCCAAGGATGACTGCAGAACCTCTGCTGGCTGCCTGCTGCATTTTCCCACTGTCTTCCTAGTGAAAAAGTGTTTCCTTTTGTCAAACCCAAACCTGATTGCTTTAAATCAAAGCTTTTCTCATGACCACTGTGGAGAGGCTGACTTCACCATCTCAGTAATATTTTGGTGGGTTTGGGGTGCAGATATTGAGCAAGCCTGGATCTCTCCTCCTGGGACAAGTGCTGCATCCCACTGATTGTGGTGGCCCTCCACTGATCTTGCTCCAAAGTTTATAAATCCCTTGTCCATGGATCCCAACATTTGGTGTGGATACAATTCCAGGAGTGCAGCAGAAAGGGATAATTCTTGTTAGGCTAGAACAGCTGAGCTCCAGGTTAAAACATGCCCCAGCAAAACCTGAAGCCTGGCTTCACAAGGCTTCTTTGTTGCCAAAATCCTTGCTGGAAAGGCAAATCTGACGCTGGGAGAACATTTGCACTTTGGAATCAGGAGCAGAGAAGTTCTTACCACACAGTTGCCAGTGCAGCTGCAATCTCAGCTATTGAATTTTAAGCTTCATCTGCTTATGGGCTTTGATATGATTTATTGTGGTAAAGAACCTTAATCACACAGTGTTGCCTTGAGAAAAATGATGTAACTGGCAAGGTGAACCATGTGCCTTGTTCTTTGTGGAAATGAGGGGAAAGGTTTGGTTTTGGAAGCTGAAAATACAGTTCTACTTCATTGCTGTTTGGTGTGAGTGAGCTGAGCACTTCCAGTCACATTCCCAATGTGTAAAAATTGCCAGTTTCTTAGATTACTGCTGAAAGACAAACAAAACCTTGCTGTGTCAGGCTTTAAGTGCATCCTGTTTACAGGAGAATTGCCTGCAGTGACTTTTAAGCACTTACTTTAGTAATAGAAATAACTTCATAAAAATGAAACCAAAAAAGCACAAGAAATTTAGAAATAAATAAAGCAGTGCTGTACCTGGCTCTGGCAAAACACAAAGCTTCTCCTTCCTACTTGCTTTAACTAGACCACAGGAATTTAGGAGAATAGCCTAGTTATTGGGTAAAAAATATCCCCTATTACTAAAAAAATGCCCATGTTCAAAGTGGCCAAATAGGATAAAATACAGAAATTTGCTGTAGTAAATTTTGGGGTACCACAGTTGAACTGGCTGCCACAGCAGATTGTGAGCAAGCCTTTAGCATCTTGCCAAAACCCAACTTCTTGTTCCAATGACATTTTTAAGTCTTGAGAAACTGGCAGTTGTTTGGGGCTTGGCTTTGAGCTGCAGCTTTGATCTGACTTCATGGGATTGAAGGAGGAACACACCACAAAGGAGCTGGGGCTGCAGCCTAAATTCAGGCTTGGCTTAAAAGAACTTGTCCTTAAAAGAAATGTGTTGGGTGTACCCTGAAGCTCACAAGGAGTTCATAATCATGTCATTTGCCTTGATAAGAAGCTCAGAGCATTGCCCATAAAAATAAAATAAAATAAAATAACATAGGCAAAACACCTCTGCCTTCTGATCTTGCTCCAGAAAACGAGTGGCTCTTGAAGAAGGCAGCAGGGCTAAAGCTGTTGGTTCCAGACTTGCTGCTAAGCTGCTTTTCAGCTCCAAGTCAGTGTGTTTGCAGCTTTGTGTTCTGTTAGAAAAATGACTTTAGTGTGATTTGTCTCTCCAGTCTGGTTTTTATGCTTTTCTGGGTTAGGATATTTGCTCTTCAGTCTGCTCAAGTCTTCAGACAGTGTTGCAGGAGGGTTTTTCCTCTTCTTGCCTCCTTCTTTTCTTGCAATTCACCTCTCCCTCAGACCAAAACTGGTTCTCCTTGCCTAATCTGTGACCTGGGGCTTATTCTGTCATTGATTTTCCTTGCTCAGTGCTGTTTAGCTGGTAATACAGTATCTTATTTTAATTTTTTTCCCCTCAGTGGCACGTTTTTCGTGGCACATCAGTTGGTATCCTCACAATGACTTTTATCTTTCAAATCTAGATGTTGAAAGACTTCACTGAAAGCTGAAAATAAAGTCTATAATTATGCCTTCATATGTCATGATTAAAAACCTTGCTTTGAAGTTTGATTTTTTTTTTCCCATTTCCATTGGCTTGAGTCCATCCCTGCCATGATGGGATTTCCAAAATCCCAAAGCACCTCCCAGAAATGGGTGCTTGAGCTTCAGGAGGCTGTAGGTGATACTTTAATGCTTGAAATGGCTTCTTTCAGTATGAAGATGAAGAAGCTGCAGAGGAATTCAAGATTTCCAGCTTTGTGGACATGGTCAGGGATTGCAGCCGCATTGGGATCCCCTACAGCTGCCAAGGTAGGGGGGGGTGATGCTCAGATTTGTTGGTTTTTTGGGTTTTTTAATCTATTTTTTTTGTTTTTTTTGGGGTTTGTTTTTTGTTAAGCTTGGGATTGAAGGTACTTGAGATGGTATTTCACATTCAAACTTAAATTTTTTTAAAAATTATGTTACATTTTGATAAGTAGTGAGTTCTGTAATATTTTACTAGCAAGGTACAAAATGGCTGTCTTTCTTTACGAGGTCTTTTAAGGTTAAACTATCTCATTAAGAAATGATACTTAAATTATTTTTAGTTTTAACTCAATAACTAATGTTTTGTGTCCTGCAATGGGGACTTGTTGTCTAATTTGAAAATATTACTTAAACTCATGAAGAAGAAGGTGAGGAAGAACAACTAGCTACTACTTTAAAACTTCTATCTTAGCTTTATATATATTATTATATCTTAAAACTTTTAAGTTTTCTACTTTGTGATATTGCACACTCTTATTCAGATTACACGCTTGTAATTACACACTTGTAATTACAAAATCACAAATTACAAATTGCACACTTGTAATTACACACTTCATATATATTACTATATTTTAAACTTTAGGTTTTCTACTTTGTGATAGCACACACTTATTCAAATGACACACTTATAATCATAGTGCTGTTAATCAATTTTGGAAGCCTTCTCTACAGCCTTAGGTTAAATATAATATTCTCTTGTGGGTCTGTGCTTTTCAAAACAGAAAGTTTAAAATTCTCAGCATCTAGAGTTCGAACACAGAGAGTGGAAGTGTTTTTGCACCCTGCAGCTTCAGGGAATGAAGATTTCCTTTCCTTAGGAGAGAAATAAGGATTAGTAAGTCATTAGTTTCCTTTTAGCATCTCTTCCCTTAAGAGCTGAATTTCTTTCTGAGAGCTGGATGCCCTCAGAGTTCATTTGGGGAGCGAATTCCCCCAGTGTGAGGCAGAGAAATGATTTGCATTCAGAGCAGTGTCTTGAGCTGCTGCAGAACTTCTCTGTTCCCATGGGAGCTCCAGATAAATCCTTCTTTATGGAAGGGGAGAATAAACATTTCTTTATGCAAGTTTCCTTTTTTAGAACTGAAAAAAAACTGCCCTGCACGGCTTCCTGTTGGGATCTGGAGCCAGCCTTGAGCCTCAGCAGTGAAATCTTGCATTCTTTTTTTATTCCTAATTCTTTATTGCTTCCCTTAGGGAAGGCTGATATGCTCTGACTGCCTGAAAAGTCATTAATGGAAGTGCCAGGAGGAAGTTTTAATTTCCCTCAACTTAAAATTCTGATTAAATGGGGATGATGGGAGAAATTCCTCCCTGTGAGGGTGGTGAGGGCCTGGCACAGGGTGCCCAGAGAAGCTGTGGCTGCCCCTGGATCCCTGGAATTGGATCCAGGGATCAGGATGCAAGCCCCATCCAGCCAAGGCCGGGTTGGACAGGGCTTGGAGCACCCTGGGACCATGGAAGGGGGAAAATGGGATGAACTTTAAGGTCCTTTCCCACCAAAACCATTCTGGGATTCTCTGATGTTGTATTTCAGTATTTACTTAAGACCAAGTATTTGATGAACTGGAGTAAGCAGAGCTCCCTCTTTATTATCTTGAATTTTAATTGTTAATCAGCATGTAATAGAGTTTGGAAGGAAATGTGGAATATCCTGAGAAAAAGGCACAAAATTCAGGGTGTAGGGGAGCTTCTAAAATTGCTGCCTGCACAAAAACCATTTTTCGCTTCAAGATTTTCAGCGGTACAAAAATGAGATTTTTCTACAACCGAATCTGTGAATCCCAAGAACTCAGGGAGAGCTGAAACGCCAGGATTTGTGATGGAATTTGTTACTGTGCTTGCTTTGCAGGCCACCTGCAGATATTTGACATGTTCATCGTGGAGAAGTGGCCGATCGTGCAGGCCTTCGCGCTCGAGGGGATCGGGGGCGACGGCTTCTTCACCATGAAATACGAAGTGAGTGCCTCCCTTGGTCGTCTCCTTCCTGAGGCACAGCTTACTCATGAGATTGTTTTGTTTGCAGAGCACTTCTGGAGATGATCTAGTCCTGACTCACTGCTCAGGCGAGCTGCTAAATTGGATGGAAGCTTTTGTGATCTTGTAAAGCTGTGGCAGGATGGGGAGCCTGTGGTGTGCCTGAGGTTCTGTCTGGGCTACACAGCACTTTGCCTGGACATGATTTGCAATTCTCCCCAGGCCTCTGCTGTGATTTAGAACTCATTTTCCCTTTCCTTTTCCCTTTCCTTTTCATTTCCTTTTTCCTTTTCTTTTTCCTTTCCTTTTCCCTTTTCCTTTTTTCTTTTTCTTTTCCTTTATCTTTTTCCTTTATCTATATTTTTCCTTTATCTATATTTTTCCTTTTCCCCTTCCCCTTCCCCTTCCCCTTCCCCTCCCTTCCCTTCCCTTCCCCTTCCCCTTCCCCTTCCCCTCCCTTCCCTTCCCTTCCCTTCCCTTCCCTTCCCTTCCCTTCCCTTCCCTTCCCTTCCCTTCCCTTCCCTTCCCTTCCCTTCCCTTCCCTTCCCTTCCCTTCCCTTCCCTTCCCTTCCCTTCCCTTCCCTTCCCTTCCCTTCCCTTCCCTTCCCTTCCCTTCCCTTCCCTTCCCTTCCCTTCCCTTCCCTTCCCTTCCCTTCCCTTCCCTTCCCTTCCCTTCCCTCCCTTTCCCCTTTCCCCTTTCCCCTTTCCCCTTTCTTTTTTTCCTTTTTTCCCTTTCCCTTTTCCCTTTTTTCCCTTTTTCCTTTTCCTTTTTCCTTTATGTTCCTTCCTGAGCCACCTCTACCAATAACCAATTTTTTAACCCCTAATTTTTTAGATGGGTTCTAGAACTTCAAGAGCAGAGCAAGAGAAGTTGGTTAGTGACAAACACCTTGAGATGAGCTCAGAAAATAAGAAAATACTATTTTTTTTTGGGTCACTGGTTTTGACTGAAGAGATGCATCCCCCTTCTCTCCCTGACATTTTATATTCCTGGGTCATCATACCCTGCTCAATAGGGCAACAATCAGGATTTAATTGCAACTTATGTCATTGATTTGCCCATTTATTAATTATGCTCTGAACAGCATTTTCAGATGACAGCTTTGCATTTCTGTGCTTGTTTAAAGCTTCTTTGCTTTCATTTTTTTGAATCTCTGCCACAGCAATGCAGATGTTCTATTTTTCTTATCACTCCTCCATTTTTTACAGCCACAATGGGCTTTTGTCTGACTCCTGATAGCTGGAAAACCTCCAGAGAATGAATAGTTCCATTTTTAAAAGTCTCATCATATCTATAATTGTACATTCTTGCTTAGAAATATTCTCTGGGAGTTCCTGTGCCTTTCTGAGCACTGTTCTCTTTCCACTGGGTGGAAAATTTTAAGCTTTCTTCAGGGTTTTTTTGTCATTGCATCACTGGTGCTGTAAACACCTCATGGTGTAAAACCTGCCCAAAGCATTAAACAGATGGGATCTTTGGGGAGGGCACCCTTCTTGATGCATAAAACGAGTTAATGAAAATTTCACTGCCAATTCAGGAGCTGTTTGGATCTTTACCTGCCCTTTAATTACCCCAGTTCATTTCAGAAATCAGTAGAGGCACTGAAAAATAATGTTCAGACAGGGTGGCACAGGCAGAAGCTGCCCTGTGTGATCCAGGGAGCTGATTCTGTCCCCAAGCACTCCTGAGTGCTTCAAAAGGAGCAGGGAAAATTCTTGGATTCCTTTTTTTGAGAGCAATCATGTTGGGCTCTGGCACTCCAGGCAGCTCCAGCTGCAGTTCTTGTTTGCTTCCTCCTTGAAATCACGAGGGGATTTCAAATGGGAAGTGACATTCTTAACTTTGTACATATTTGTGTGGTTCTCTGGCCCTGAGGGGGGAGGAAACCAGGCTGGAAGTGCATTTGGGATCACTGTAAATCATCTAGAAATTTATTAAAAGGGGAGGTTTTTGGTGCATTTTTAGCTCAGACTTTCCCTCTGAGATTTTCCCTCTGCTGTGTGTGTTCTCTTAGATTGGAATATAATTGAAGGATGATAATTCAGGATTTCTCCCAGCCTTTTAAAGGCAGTTCCTCTTTTATTGGAGAAATCAGAGTTGTTCATGATGCTGTCATTTAGAAAATTTCCTGTATTTATAGGAATGGAATGGAAGTGAGGTCTGGGAAATCATTATTACATGAATACCTGTAAAGCAGTGGGTTAAGAAAATTCCAGCCAATGTTGCATTTTTAACTGAGTGAGTGATGGGGAACCCTGTAAATGCAGAATTATTCAGATACCAGTGTCCCTCAAGAATATATTTTTAAATATTGCTCTCCATATGCATCTCTCATATGCATAATCTGTCATTTAGAAAATTTCCTGTATTTATAGGAATGGAATGGAAGTGAGGTCTGGGAAATCATTATTACATGAGTACCTGGAGTACCTGTAAAGCAGTGGGTTAAGAAAATTCCAGCCAGTGTTGCATTTTCAACTGAGTGGATGATGGGGAGTAAATGCAGAATTATTCAGATACCACTGTTCCTTTAAGAATATATTTTAAAATATTTTTTCTCCATAAGCATCATCCTGCTACTTGGAAGAAAGTATTGCAAAGGTAAAATACTGTCTTAGCCTAAATTTAGTATTGCAAAGTTAAAATACTGTCTTAGCCTAAATTTACATCAGCTTGGAGCAAATATTGGCTGAAGCTCAGGATGAGTAACCCTGGAATTGGCTCTTGATTTTCTGTCTTAACTCAGACAACTCATCTTGCCCTTTTGCCTGCACCAGCTCATGCAGTTCTTTGCTATTAAATTGAAAAATCTTGTGAAATGATTTGTTTGGAGGATGCAGAGAAAGCTTTGCACAGAGTCCAGGCCCTCACTGGTCAGCTCTTTTGTAGCAGAGTGGAAATATTTGTGAAATCAGAGTGGAAATATTTGTGAAATCAGAGTGGAAATATTTGTGAAATTGGAGTTAAGGAGCACTGGTAGACAGGGCAGTGTTCCCCAATTCTGCCTCATCTTAAACCCCAATCTGTGCCTTTCTTTGTGGTGTTTTTCACAGAAATGTGTTTAAAAATCTCTTTCAGTTAATGGATGTCAGTGCTGATTTATGGAAGACCTACAGCAAAATGGATCCTGTGTCCTTGGAGGATTTGCTTTTTGAGGTAATGCAGGTGAAATCTTCTGCCTCAGCTCCTGCTTGGTGTAGCCACAGAGTAAAAGTTTGATTTTGTTTGGTTTTAATTAAGTTTATGGGCTTAATTTACAGGCCCTTCTGTTGCATGATTTATTCCTTAAATCTACCACAAACTCTGCAAAACACTAAAATAATTTGTCTTGCTTTCCTTGAATTTATTGCTTTGTCTGAAAATCTCCTGCAAATTTTCCTTCATGTCATTAAACCATGTACAAAATACCTGAAGTTGCTGTGGTTTTGTGTGTCAATCCTCCTTTTGCAGCAAGGAGGGTTAAAAAAAATCCCCTTTAACACAAAACCGTTCTTCCAGGAGAAAAAAAAAAGCATTTTTCAAATGTTTTGTAGCTCCTTTAAGTGGGGAACAGTGACACTCAGTGGCTGCCCTGATGCTTTGGGAAATACAAACAGAGGGAAGGGATTTCCACATTAATGCCAGGCTCTGATCTCAGTGCTAGAGGAGAAAGCATTGTATCAATATTAATATTTATAATTTAGATGCCATTTATCGTTTAGTTACATTTATTTATATTATAATTCATTATAATTATTATATAATATATATAATGTATATACTATATTATATAATATATATAATATATATTATATCTATAATATTATATATAATATATATAATATTATAGATATATAATATTATAGATATATAATATATAATATATATAATATATATTATATATTATATATATAATTCATTATAATTATTGTGGATGCATTTTGAATTATCTATTTATATTATAATTTAATTATTTATATTTGTAATTTATTAAATTACTATTTAAACTTTAATAGTCTATATAATTGTATAATTCTTGGTATATATTAATTTTTAATCTGTTCCTAGCTTGATAGCAATTTAATATGTAGAAAATTCAGCAGTAATTATCCTTTATTAATAAAATATTGGTAGTTCACACCAATGTGGTTGCTCAATCGACTGCTGTAATGAAAATTAAAATATCATAGAGTTTTTACAAGACTATCAGTTTAAGTAATCATTCTCTGAAATTTCACTTCCCCTCTCTGTGTGGAAGTGAGATTCATGTTTGGGACTTGTCCTACACTCTGAGCAGACATATTTATTACACTTTGATGTTTTCAGCCTGAAAGTTATTGTTAAATTGACTTAAATTTTCTGAAAACAATAAACATAAACCACATACCCACAAAAAGATACCCTGAAATCCAGCAGAATGTCCTTATCTTCTAAAATATATTTATTTTCCTGAGCGTATTGTTTCATTGGGCAGTCTGTATTCCAGTCTGTATTGCCTTCATTTCTCTTGAAGTAATGTCAAATATTTTCCTTCTAGGATTTAATGATTTTTGAACACCAGTGGACCAACTTTTTTGCTAATTTTGACACTGAAATCCCCTTCATTCTGGAGCTCTCAGAATCTCAGGCTGGGGAGGTAGGCCTGCTTCAGCAATCCTCCACTATCTGTGCAGAAGGAAAAATTACTCAGCATTAATTTGTTTTTTTTGTTTTTCCCCTATCCCATCTCACTTTTCATGTTTGAGGGTTAAAACCACATAATTTGAATTTTTAAAGTCACCGCCCACCTTAAAAATCCATGGTATGATGGCTTAGGACTGCAGGGGAAATTCAGTCAAGTGTTTGCTCACTGATAATTCCATTTCTACCTGCACAGGAGATATTTGTGGGTAGATTAACTTGCATTTGGATGGAATCTGGTATGTGCAGGGCTGAACAAGTTGAATTTGCACATTTCAAACCTCAAACATAACTGAGGGGGTGACACAGAGCCTGGGAGAAAACAACAGAGCATTTCTGGGGGTGGCTGTTGCTTTTTGGGGATGCATTTTGAAGCCTTTTGATGCTTTTTTGAACATTTTGATGCTTTTTTGAAGCATTTTGTTGCTTCCTGTGGGATGATGGAAGGTGTCCCTGCCCCTGGCAGGGGGTTGGAACTAAATTAAAGGCTTTAAGGTCCCTCCCAACCTAAATCATTTAACGATTTAATGAAATGAGAGATTTAGTGGTGTTTGTGTTTATTTGTGGAGGTTGGAAGCATTTTCTGAGGGTTCAGGAGTTTTCTCTGAGAAAGATAATTCAGGTTTAATTAATGAGAGGCTATTTCACACTTCTTTCCATGTACTTCTTAATAATTTTTTTGTTTTCAATTCTTCCCAGCCCTTCAGAAGTTATTTCAGCCATGGCATGATCTCAAGCCATATAACAGATAACAGGTAATTATTTATTATTATTATTATTATTATTATTATTATTATTATTACTACTACTCATTACTCTCTCTGGTGTCACTACTACCTCAATACTTTATTTCCATATCCCTGATGCCATAATGTTTAAAATTCCTTTTGATATCACCTCAGTAGATCAAATCTCATTCTGAAAAAAACCCTGCAAAGTTCCTTCGTGTCCTGGAAGGACAAGCTGAATTTTCCCAGGGTTTAATGCTGGAATTTTTACCTATACCATGAAATTTTGTGCCTTATGATCAGTTCCTTCCTTGTTCCATCCCTGGAAAAGGTTGCTTGAGGCTTGGAACAACCTGGGATTGTGGAAGGTGTCCCTGGAATGAGATTATTTAAGGTTCCTTCCAACCCAAACCATCCTGAAATTCTCTGAGAGAGTTTTAAACCAAAAGTTGTTGTTTAGCTGAAGGTTCTGTTGCAAAATCCACATTGTGCTGTTGTGAGCTAATCAAGGTTTGTTCAGCAAATTCAATCTCTCTGCACATTCTGCTCTATTTGGAGTAAAACCAGTGCAGTTTAATGCCCTTTATTGCTGGCAGCATCCTCTGGTGTTTGCATTGCATTAAAGAAAAGAAAATCTTTGACCTCCCCAGCTGAGTCTTGGGCCCAAAGCCAGAGCTAAACCCAAAATAGTTTTGTTTGTTTCCAACACAGTCATTTCAGGGCTTTTCAAGAAAGTAAATTTTAAACTAAGCAGCTTTTCAAGGCAGTTTAAGATAAAAGAATATTTTAAGAGCATTTGGGAACAACCTTGAGATAAGTTCATTATATTTGAAAGAAATTATCAGTTTATAAATGCAAGAAGATTTTTTTCTGTTGAACTTGCTCCTTTCCCTTTGAAGCTTTAGTAATGTTTTTATTATAATAATGAGAAATTCAGCAGTTGAAAGCTTTGATTTCATTTGTTGGTAAAATTCCTGCAAGTATTTTGGTGTTGATTCCTTGTCTCCTCCTCAGCCCAAGCAGGCAGCCCTTTGTCCTGTTTGGCAGCCACTCCACAAAGGAAAACTTGAACACTGGGAACTTTAATTTTCCATCTGAAGGGCATCTGGTCCGAAACACTGGCCCTGGGGGAAGCACTGCCAAGCATATGGTAAGGCTTTGGAGAACTTATCTGAGATTTTAAACTCTATTCTCTTTTTCTTTATATATATTTTGTGCTTGTCTTTCATGAGGTAAATGCCTAATTCTTCTTACCATAAAGCACCTCAGCAATCAATCAGGTTAAGGAAAAAAAAGTGATTTTTCTTGCTCTTTCCAAGTGGAACCAGACTGGATTCTTAATCAGGGACTGCTGAATGAGTTCAAATAATTTATTCTCTGGAAAAAGACAAGTTTTGCTGTAAGTGGGTGGGGGAGAGGGAAATGCTGTTTGTGTCCTGGCCACAAAGTGAAAACCCTCTGTGATACACACAGATTCTATTTTAATCACATTTATTTGGCCATTTCTTAAAAAAGAAACAAAAAGCCACTTTTTTTGGATAATTTCTTTCTGAATAAACCTAGGATATACCACCACATATCCAAATTCCACTGCGTGCTTCAACAACTATTGACAAGACTGTAAAAAAACCTTTGATAAAATTCCAGGACTGCTCTGCTGAAGTTGCAAAGCTTAACTTATTTCCACTTCCAAGTAAAAGCTTGGTTGTTAAACATTCTTTTACTTGTTTTGTTAAACTTCTGCTTTTACTTTTACATTTCCAAGTAAAAGCTGGGATGTTAAACATGATTAACTCGTTTCCATTTCCAAGTAAAAGTTGAGTTGTTAAACATGATTAACTTATTTCCACTTCCCAGGAAAAGCTGGGTTGTTAAACATGCTTTTACTTGTTTTGTTAAACTTGTGCTTTTACTTTTACATTTCCAAGTAAAAGCTGGGATGTTAAACATGATTAACTCGTTTCCATTTCCAAGTAAAAGTTGAGTTGTTAAACATGATTAACTTATTTCCATTTCCCAGGAAAAGTTGAGTTGTTGAACATGATTAACTTGTATCCATTTCCCAGGAAAAGTTGAGTTGTTTAACATGATTAACTTGTTTCCATGTCCAAGTAAAAGCTGGGTTGTTAAACATGATTAACTTATTTCCACTTCCCAGGAAAAGCTGGGTTGTTAAACATGCTTTTACTTGTATCCATTTCCCAGTAAAAGCTGGGTTGTTGAACATGATTAATTTGTTTCCATTTCCCAGTAAAAGTTGAGTTGTTAAACATGATTAACTTGTATCCATTTCCAAGTAAAAGTTGAGTTGTTGAACATGATTAACTTGTTTCTATTTCCAAGTCAAATCTGGGATGTTCAAGATAATTAACTTGTTTCCATTTCCCAGTAAAAGCTGGGTGGTTAAACATGTGCTGAGGTCCATCACCCCAGGGATTTGGGATCCTCTGGCTGGGTGGCTCCAGAAGGCAACTTGGCAGCGAAGGAGGAGAGAGGTAGAGTGTGGAGAGAGCTCCCTGCTGCCTCCAGGGGCTCTGGGAGTGCTGGGAGCCCTGAGCAGGTGGATGTGAGAGCATGAGTGAGCCCATGAGTTGATGAGTTTGTCAGCATTTCATGTGCAGCTGCCTCAGGGATGGATGGACGTGGGGCTTCTGGGCACAGATCACGTGTGCAGAGCCTGAGAAAAGAGTGATTTTGCATTTTGGTGAAATCTCATCCTCCATTTGCTGCTTTTAACATTATTTCTGTCAAAACACTTTCAATTCTGTCTTTCCTTCCCTTGTTAACAATAAGATACCTTTGCAAATGCAAGTACTGTGTTATTGTGATGTACTTGCTCCATCTGTTGTCCTCAGATTCTGATGCTGTTCTTAAAAAGGTGGTTTATTTACAGGTACAGGTGATACTGTTTTAATAGGGTGTCATGAAAATAGTAAATAAGACCAAGTGCCAGCCTAGTTATGGGAACCTGACCCACTTTCCTCTTCATGAAAAGAGCAGTTGACATAGGAAATTGAAAACACAAGTCAGAGCTCATCTCCTTTCCCAAGTCTTTCAACCATTCAGGTCAAGTCAAAAGTGAAATAGACCTTTGAAAACGTAAGTTGCTTTTTCACAATCCAGTTCTGTGTTGTAACCTTCTGTAGTCTGTCAGTGCTTAGAAGACTTAAGGGGAACGTAGTTAATTGTTCATTATTGCACCAATTTCTTTTACTGATGTCTTTTGTATCTCATTAATACTGACTGCTAGGTAGTGCAGTGTGTATCTCCAAAGGGACCCCTGGCTTGCTCAAGGACCTATTTTTTTGGAGCCACTCACATTCCTTTCCTGGGTAAGTGCATGAAATGCACCAAGGCATTATTACCTCTGATTCCATGAAAATTTGTAGCAGTTAAAGGTTTTGCTTCATTTCTAAGTGGTAGATTCTGTAGCCAGTGCATGAAGTCATAGCAAATTTTGTGGGTAAAATCTGTCAGATCTGAGTTTTGAACATAAAATCTGGCAGATCTCAGTGTGCAGACCCTTTTAAAAGTATTAAACAAAATTTAAGTCCATGTTCCATATGGATTTATAAAAAAACAGTCTCCAAAATACAGTAATTCAAGTTGGGAGTTGTCAAGTAACTGAGAATTTTTAGGATGAAGGAAATTCTTTCACTTCTGTCTTTTATCCTCAGTGTAATGAGGTACAGTAGCTGTATTCCCAAATAAAAACAAGCCATGTAAAATTAAAAAAAAAATATTTCTTATGTATTTTAAATGGCTGGAAAAGTCTATGGATGAAGTTAGTCCTTAGGGTTTTCTTGAAAAAAAAAATTCTATTTAAAAAAAAATATATTATATATTATATATGTATTGTAATATATTTATAAATATATAATATAAAATATAATATAATATAAAAATATCATATTATAATATATTATATATTATATGTTAAATTTATATTATATGTTATATAATATATATTATATATATAATTATATATATAATATATATGTATAATATATATTATACATATATATTATATGTATAATATATATGTAATATATATAATATATATTATTATATATTATAGCATAAAATACTGGATAAATATATATTATATATATATATATATATATATTTATATATATATACTGTCACATGAAATACTGCTGACTTTTGGTAATTGTGAGAGATAAAAATGGAATTACTGCACTGAGCAGCAGAATTTCCTTAATAGATAAATAGATATATCTATATATAAAATATATTAATTATATCTATATAAATAGATATAAATACATAAAATATAAATATATATATATTCTGGGCTCAGAGCAGCTGAAGAAAGGATGGTTGGAAAATTGGAATTACAACCTGTATTTGCCTTAGTAGCATAAAATACTGGATAAATTCCATGTAAGATGTGCAGCAGAAATGCTCTCAGAGTGCTTAAACCAAACCTTTTTTTATTATTATTTTTGTTGTATTATTTTTGTTTTAATACAGGAAATGACAATGAGATACACAAGCAAGCTGAGCAAGTGTAAGCTGCCAATTTTTGATGTTATTCCTTAACTCTTCCCTCTTCTACCTCGTGGCAGTAGGTGAAACCTGCTTTTAGTGGCTGTTGGCATTTGCAGGGACATTTTTATTCAGAATAACGTGCATGGGGCAGGGTTGCAAAGGCAAAATGCTCGTGGGGAGTTTCAGTGGGTACATGGAGAGTTGGTAGGAAAGGAAATATTAGTAAATTTTGCTCAAATTGTAGTAAAAAAAAAATAATCTTGAATCATTTTTAAAGATACTTTATGTAAAGCAAGAGGAAAAAGTCTATCACACTGTAGCATCTTGCACACATAGAAGAAAAAGTAATTTTTGGAGCAGTTTCATGAACAATGTGGAAGATTTCTGATGCTCAGTGAAAATGCCAACAGGGAACACTCAACCCTGTGAAGGAATTCACTGTGTTCAAGCCAGGTCAAACTTAATTTTTCCTCAAATTTGGGAAGCTGCAAAGCTTCTGCACATTTTAACCTTCTCAAAATCCCACTTTGTTTTTCCATGTTGATGTCCACTTTTGTGCATGTTGTAGATTCCTGTCCATACAATAGAAAATCTGCTTTGGTCCTGCTCTCTCTCTTGATAAATCAGACTTTTCCTTAGAGATTTTTGTCCTCCTTAGTAGTTGGGATCATTTTAGGAGCCTGTTTTTGCTTCTGGAAAGCTGCATGAGCTGGTAGCAAGATACTAAAAATATTAATGATGTGTCAGTACTGTCACACTAAATATTTTTGGCTTTTGGTAATTGTGAGAGATAAAAATGGAATTACTGCACTGAGCAGCAGAATTTCCTTTCTTTTAGAGAAAACTGAACTTCAACAGGTGTTTTTTCTTGCATCTACATATTGCTCAAACATTTTTTGTCCTCCTTCAAAAATCCTTTGTATTAAATGCATTTTAATCAAGATGAGTAGAGAAGCTCTAAACAAAGCAGGGGTTGATAAAGGCAGTAATTAAAAAATAATATCTTTTTTCTTGGAAGCATCCCTGTATTGCTTCAAATAATCTAATTTCAAACAACAGTAGTATAATTGACTTTTTTGACAAACCTGAACTCATGATTTTCAGCTTAGTTTACAATTGTGTCCTGCTTCTTACAGTTGGCAATGTTTTATAAAAAGTGAAATAAAAAGTATTTTATGAACACTGTTCATTCCAAATTTCCCTGTACTGATTGCCTGGAGTGCATAAACCAAATTTGAAAATTGAATGATAAACTGGGATAAATTTTGTGGTTTTATTTTTATTTAAGAAAATGCTTCAAAAGCAACAAAAAAGAAATCCTGTGCTGGTTTTTTGGGTTTTTTTTTCACTGCTAGCTTTAAAGTGTTAAAATGGGAAGAAGAATAAGACAAAGGACACCTCACTGGGGTGTTTTCTTGCAAATATAAATGTGAATTTGAGGGAAAATAGGAGTGGTTACAAAGTCTGGAAGAACTAAAATATAAAGGAATTACATTGCTTTAATGCAGTGCAAACATGCTAAGTGCATATGAAAGCACAGGAAAATACAACCTGGAAACATAGTGAAAAAGCTGAATTTTAAAGTCACTTGCTGCTGTTGGGGATGATCCAAGACAAGCTTTGGTGCATTTTGAGGTTCCTCCACGTTTGGGATCTTCAGATGCTTTTTTTCCATCTTTCAGGAATGCTTTGCCTTTGGCTTAAATGCTGTATCCTCTTTCCTCCCCCTCTTCCCTCCCTCAATATTGGCAGTGGAGTCATGAGAAAACTCAAAATTTAGGGAGTGATTTCATTGATCTGCTCATTTTTTAATTGTAATTTAGCAGGAAAACAGAGGCTGAGGTTCCTTGGTTTGGTTTTTCCCCTGTGGTTCTCTGGAGCTGTAAATGTCTCAATAGCTGAAGGTCACTCCTGACTTTGGTTTATTTCTTTACAATTTTCTCAGTCCCCCATTAAGAAGGGAATTGGACTAAGCTGGGATGGAGATTTCATGGAATTGTGGAATGGTTTAAAGATCATCTCATTCCAACGTATTCCAAATTCTGCCAGGAGAGGGGGGGATAGCAGGGACACCTTCCACTATCCCAAGTGGCTCCAAGCCCTTGGACACTTCCAAGTGGCCTTGGACACTTCCAGGGGTGCAGGAACAGCCCCAGCTTCTCTGGGAATTCCATCCCAGGGCTCCCCACCCTCCCAGGGTCCACCCATCCCTCCCCCCTGTCCATGTGAACCCATTCCCTCTGTCACCCCAGACCCTGCATTTAGGATGGGATTCTTAAACCCAGCTGCAGCAAAAGGCAACAGTAAACCAGATTTTTTATTCCTGACTAATAAAAGCACCAGCCACATTCATATCAAGAGTTATTTCCTTTAAAATATCCTGTAATTTGAGCAATTTCCTCGCTCTAATTTCATTGTCTTAAACAGAAAGCTTAACTATAAAACAACTTCACTTATTCCAACAAAGATCCCTTCCTTATTATTAAAGGAGTTGTGCAATGAGAGGAAAAAGTGCTCCTTTAAAGAGAGGAGGAAGAAACCTCTGCCTGTCCAGTAAATGTTGTGTTTGTATTTCTCTTCAGTACGCTGTTGTCGCAAATATATTCTGCTGTTGTAGAGGCTGTGCTTGCTGGCATTGAGTGCTATGCTAAAACTTCCACTGAATCCAAGGTAAATGAAGTTGGTAAATGAAATTTAATTGTTCTCTCTCTGTAATTGTTGATTGGGATTGCTTGCAGTATGAGATTTACGTGCAAACCAAAATGAAAAGCAAAATAAATTCTGTGTTTTGCTCAATGGAATAGCACAAGGTTCCTACTCTGCCCTCCAAGCAGGCTCTGAATTCTGTTTAAAAAAAGAAAATAAAATAAAAGAGAGATTTCAGAGTGTGTCTAATTTTACCCATCTCCAGTTGGTTTTCCATCTTCTCATGAATTTTCCTGACCTCATAGTAAGGAAAATGAGATCTGTGAAAAATCAGATTTTAGCCTGGTGCATCAGTGTGTTACTGTTTAGTGTCTCCTGTTGGCCTTAGGGTGCTCCTGGAGCTGCTGGGATTTGGAAGGGGATAGGAAAAGATATTTGAATTTTGATTTCCTTTTTTCAGGCAAAGGAGGTGGCAGAGCAGGTGCTGCTGTCTGTGTTAGACACCCTTGGCTTAGCACAGCTGAAATCTGCTTTACGGTGGGTATTTCCAGAGTTACTCAGTGGGCTTCTTTGGGGGAAAAAATATCAATTATAAACTGAAAAAATATTAATTATTAACTGAAAAATATTAATTTTAAACTGAACTTGCCTGACTGCCAGATTTCAAGACTTCATAATGCATTCATCCTTTAAAAATCACTATAATTATTCCATTTTCCAATTTTCTTAATCACTTCTTTTGCTTTAAGTCTGTTCCTGCTTTTTTTTTTTTCCATTTAAAAATATAAACCACACATTTCACCTGTACAATTTCTATTCTACAGCTCCAAAATTGCTTTTCAAATCCAGGCTGTGAACAACCATGGCAGGTTTGTATCACTGTCTTACAACTTCTTGTTATTAATTACATTATATAATTAATCATATTATAATTAACATAATATAATAATTAATATTAATAATAATTATAACATAATATAATAATATGTTGTTTACATAATTAATTATATTAATATATTGTATATATTAAAAGATTAATAATTAATTAGTCTTTTTATTAATTACATTATGTAATTAATTATGTAAACAACATAATATTATGTAAACAACAACAACAAGAAGAACAACAACAATAATAATAAATTCATAAGAACAAATATAATATCATTATATTATCATAATATAATAAGAACAAATATCATAATATCATAATGTAATAAATTACATTATTATCTTGCTATTAATTACAGTGCTTTACATACACTAATAAATAAATTTTTCTCCTCTTGGAACTCCTGCAAAAACCCCTGTGTTTGATAATTTCACACAAGATGTGCTAAATGCTTTTGTGTATGAGGTAGTTCAGTGATTTCATCTGCAATTCTGTGGAATCTTAAAAACATTAAAAGGAATAAAAAGCAGTTGAGCAGAGTAATTTTTATTAACTGTTAATGAGTAGAAGCACCATGAGCTCATGAAGAGTTTCCTTTGGAAATTGCTTTTAACTTAGTTGATATCACAAACTTGTGCTTATTAAATCCCCACACTAATTGACTGAAATGACCTGCACAAAGAAGTGTTTATTTGAAAATAAAACAGCTTTTTTGGTTGCTGTGGAGTCCCAGAAAGATGATCTAACTTTTAAATATTTCATTATTATTGTTGTTCTAGAATTACCCCATTAGATAACGAGGATAGCCTGAGTTTGATCAAAACGGTAAGAAATCATAATTTTTATTTATTTCATTAGAAAATAGAGCTCAAGTGCCTGTTTTTCTGGGGCATACTGAGATTTTTATGTGAATACAAGTGTAAGGGGAAAGATGAGAGAGATTTCAGATGCTGGACCAGGTTAAACAAGAAATCAGAATTCAGAATAAAACATTAACACAGATTTCTGATCTCAGGCTTTAACCACAATATTGAAATACTGGTTTAGGATGTTTGAAAAATACATATTTTGCTTTTTCAATTGAAATATTTCAAATTTCTCTTCCCTCCAACTGCTGGATATCTGCAGGCATCCATGATGGTGTTTGACATTCCTGACCTGCTGACAGGAAGAGGATGCTTGGGATCTGTTGTGTTTTCAGAGTCCTTCCTGACATCACAAATACAGGTCAAAGAAAAAGGTGAGTGGTTTAAAATCTAAAGTTCAACACCACTCTTGTCCTTCTGTGATGGGAAAGCCAAAGGAATTCCAGTGGGTGTTTTTGCTGTTACCCTGATGGGTTTGGAACATAAGAGCAAAGGAAGAAGCTGTGGAAAGATCAGAATAAATCAGGATTTCTTTGGAATCCTGGAGCAGCCATGGAAAGATCAGAATAAATCAGGATTTCTTTGGAACTCTGGAGCAGCCATGGAAAGCTCAGAATAAATCAGGATTTCTTTGGAATCCAGGAGTAGCCATGGAAAGATCAGAATAAATCAGGATTTCTTTGGAACTCTGGAGCAGCCATGGAAAGCTCAGAATAAATCAGGATTTCTTTGGGACTCTGGAGCAGCCATGGAAAGATCAGAATAAATCAGGATTTCTTTGGGACTCTGGAGTAGTCATGGAAGGATCAGAATAAATCAGGATTTCTTTGGAACTCTGTAGGAGCTCTGTGTGTGTCAGAGCACAAGAGCCCCGGGAGTTACTCTGCTGTGAAAGCTTCATGGAAACACTCAGAAATCCCTAAAATAATAAGATTTTTATATTTACTAAAGAAATTTCAAATCTTAACAGTAACATACTGGGCATTCTCAAGTATGGGGTTGATATTTAATGGCCATTGTGATATTAGGTCAGAGGTTGAAAATTCTAAAATTCAACCCCACTCTTGTCCTTCTGTTGGCTTTCTGTGATGGGAAAGCCAAAGGAATTCCAGTGGGTGTTTTTGCTGTTACCCTGATGGGTTTGGAGCACTGAGAGCAAAGGAAGAAGCTGTGGAAAGATCAGAATAAATCAGGATTTCTTTGGAAACCTGGAGCAGCCATGGAAGGATCAGAATAAATCAGGATTTCTTTGGAACTCTGTAGGAGCTCTGTGTGTGTCAGAGCACAAGAGCACTGGGAGTTACTCTGCTGTGAAAGCTTCATGGAAACACTCAGAAATCCTTAAAATAATAAGGTTTTCATATTTACTAAAGAAATTTCAAGTCTTAAAAGCAACATACTGGGCATTCTGAAGCATGTGTGTGGTACAAGTTCAGTGGCCATGGTGATATTAGATTAGAGGTTGAATTTGGTGATCTTGGAGGTCTTTTCCAACCTAAATAATTCCCTGATTTCACTGCTTTGCTTGCCGTGGCTCCCCTGCAGATGGCAGCATCCATCCAGACTCCAGGCACGTTATCCTGACTGCAGCTATTCCAAGATTTGCTTCCTGGCTGGTGAGTGAGAGCACAGAGCCTCAGCTCAGCTCATCCCCAGGGCAAAACTTGCTCTGGGAGTGGGCTTGGCTGAGGGAAAACCTGGAACCTGAGCACTGGAACACAATGTTGTAATATTAATATACCCTGGTGTTTTAGATTTGGGTGAAAAGTGAAAAATTAAGCTGATGGTTCCATGCATAGTCGGAGTTTTAAATTATTATTATTAAAATCATATAATAATAATAATAATAATAATAATAATAATAATAATAATAATAATAATAATAATAATAATAATAATAATAATAATTATTATTATTATTATTATTATTATTATTATTATTATTATTATTATTATTATTATTATTGAATTTTTCATTTATTACTATTATCATTATCATTATCATTAATTTCATTTTCATCTCGTCAGGTTTTTATCTTCTTAAAGGTCTGGTTGTTTTTGAAGTGCACAGTGGGACTTTTGAAAATTCTGTTTATTGTGGGGCATTTTAGATCAGCCCAAAAGAAAGCAAAGCTTGATTCAAGACCTTTGATGCCCTGCACTGTGTGAGAGATAGAATTCCAAAGAATATAACAAAGCTGGGCAGTGCCTTTGGCAGTGCATGCTTGAACAGTAATAAAACATAAAGCTGCATGCTTTCTATCTATATAATATTTTAGTCTATAAAGCATTTTAATGGGGGGAATGTGGTGCAATAAATAATTTTGGTCCCATGGTAGCACAGTATTAAGAGCACAAAATTGTTTTTAAAACACTCAGTGCTCAGGGCTTCTTCTGTCTGTGGTACCTGAGGTTCTTGTTGGCCTCCAAACTTCTTTAATGCTTTTTATTTAATGTTAGACTTTATTTATGTAAATCACAATTTAAATGGAAGCTGTTTCTGGCTGCAGGTTGAAGACAGTGATGTGAAACTGTCTGAAAAGGCACAGCAAGTATTGAAGGTAAAGTTAAATATTTTTGTTAAACTAAAGAAGTTACACTTTGATGAACCAGTATTTGAAAAACTTGAGCTACTACCAGAGTCTCTTTTTATTCTGTGTGTTACTTCTCTTCTACAAGACTTGCTTGTTCTGCCCTGTCTTTTTCAAAATTGCACATACAAAATAATATATTGTGTGTAAAAGTTTGAGGCTTTCTTTATTTCAAAGAATCATAAAACCCAAGAGCAAAAAGAGTCCTAATAAAACTATGATTTCATGGAAGTCTCACTAAACATTACTCATGGAGCTCATGTGTCTCCAAAAGCCCCTAAAACTTGATGCAACTTTCTTTTAACTTAATTAGCATGCTAATGTCTAAAGGAAAACACTCTAAGCACTAGGAAAAAAAAAAGAGTTTGGAATCTGGAAACATCTTAAATCACATGAGTTTCACATTTGTGGTGCAATTTGTGGTTCCCAGGAATGTTCATTATAAATAGATTTATTTTCATGTAATATACTTTTAGCTCAGTAGATGGACAAAGTAAAAACAAAAAAGCTCAGCCTTGTGGTTGTGACAATAACTTGTAACTTCATTGCTGTTGGCAAAACCAAAATGGGGGGAAGGCTTTTAAAGATTATCCTCTTGCCTTGCTCTCTTTCCCTGGTCCTTCTCTGTCCATGCAGGATAAAAATATTTTAAAAGTTCTTGACCGATGCTGTTTGAAAATTAAATATTTTCTCTTGGAGCAAAAGCAGGAGAAAATAGAAATATTCCTGCTTGGATTGGTCCTTGATCCAGTCTGTGATGTTGCTGTTTGGTTTTTTTCTGTTTAGGAGGACAAATCTTTCCTGGGCACTTTACTCACTGGGGGTGATGGAGTTTATATCTGTTCCAGCAATCCACAGGCCATGCCTGCAGAAGGTGAGATAAAGTTGGGTGGTTTTCTTTTTGTTTTTTGCTTGTTTTTTCTTGTTTTGGTGAATTTTAAACAGAAGAGAGGTTCTGGGATTCACACTCTGGTGAGCCAAACTGTGCCATCATCTTAAACTTCCAATTTGCCTTTCCAAGTCCCTGGTGTTTAATTCCATGTCTGGTTTTTTGGTCCCAACCTCTGCCTGAAAATCCTGGAAGGAGAATGAAGGAGAATTCCTGCAGAGCTTTGGGCTTTGCAGACCTTTGGTGGGAGGAGGCTTTTCCCCAGAGCTCACCTTCCCAACTGGCTGCTCCTGCCCTTGCCAGATGTGCTGCCAGATGTTTTCTGTCTCTTTGAACATGAGCTTGGAAGGATTGGCCATTGCAGAAGTGCTGTGGGCTCCCAGCTCAGGAGGAGAAGGCAAATATTCCTCTCACAGCCTCCTCCTGGAGCTGATGTGTTCCAGGTTTCTGCCACTGCCATTTTCTCTCAGGAATTCAGAATTTGTCAGCTCAGCTGCTCACTGTGGCAGAAAAAAATGCCTGAATTTGGTCCTTCTCAGATCCAATCCAGTTACAGCTTTTTGACCCAACATCCCTGGCAGCAGTCTTGGATTATTCCTCTTTTTTTGGTGTCTTCCTTCAAGACCTTAAACAACATGAATATCCCAGGAATGAGACTGAAAACAATTTGATAGGACTGGTACATTTCCCTCCCTCACTGTGCCTTGAATGAATAGATTCTTTTTAAGGCACAATATTTTAATTTTCTATATATATTCTGTAATATAAAATATATCACAGAATATATACAATATATTCTGTTATAGAATAGAATATATTCTATTATAGAATATATTTCTAGATATATTTTTTGCAGAGAAGGTGCTGCTGTCACAGTGCTGATGTGCAGCAGGAGGTGCTGAATATCTGACATTAAGTGCTTGGTGCTGAAAGTGTTTAGAGGAGAACCTTCAGCTTTATTGTCTTTGCCCTGGAGTGTGGAGGGTAAATAATGATGTGCAAGGCAATTAAACAGCAACCCTCACATAAGGGCAGCTGCTTTGGCTCCAATTGATCAGATTTCAAAGAGAAGAGGTTAATGCAGAGTGTGATGTTCAGCTGTTTTGCAATGCACTGCTGTGGGCACTTGTTCACTCAGTAAATAACTGGAGAATGCTGGATTTTTATTTTATTTTATTTTATTTTATTTTATTTTATTTTATTTTATTTTATTTTATTTTATTTTGCTTTGTTAAAACTGGCTCCGTGTGCCTCCAAAGGAGCAATTTTTTTTCTTTTTAAATTTTTTTTTAATTTTTTTTTTTTTTTTTGAGATTTGTGAAGTTCAGTATTTTACCAACTCTTAAGCTGGACAGTTACAAAGAGATGCTCTAAAGACCATTAGGAAACACTGCAAGGAGCATGAAATTTTTTTCATGGCATGGCAGTGAAGCTGAATTTGTTCCCCAGTTTGTTGTGCTCAAATCTGGGCTCTGCTGAGGCTGCAGCCCTGTAGTCTGGCACTGTGAGGTGCAAAAGGTGCATTAAATTCATGGAATAGTTTGGGTTGGAACATTTAGATCCAACCCCTTGCCATGGGCAGGGACACCTTTCACTAACCCAGGTTGCTCCAAAAATTTTAATTATTAGGTTAAATTTTAATTCAAAAGGTTAATTTTAAGTCATTTCTTTTAAGTTTAATTTAAACTTAGTGCTTAAATTTTCCACTTAAATGTTTTTACACTTCAGTTTGTTACAATGTTTGAATTTTCAATTGTTTTGGATGCAATCTTTACTTAAGTTCTTGTAGTGTCAATTTTGTAGTTCTGGAAGTTTGAAATTTGACAGGATGGAATTTTTTTGCTTTTAATTTTAAAAAAAAGCCTCAATATTTCTGATAAATAGTTCTGTGGGGTCAGATAAACTCAGATGCAGTTGTAGCCATGATTCCTGCCCTTGGTAATGAGATCCAGTAAAGACTGAATGGTTGTAAATATTATCTCAAATAAAAGAAATATTTTAATTTAATAAAAATAAAATAAATATCACTAAATATTATCCAAAATCAAATTTACTGCTTGTTAAATACAACAAAATCCTGCAGGAACATAGATTTCTTCCTCAGGAAGACAAGACAGTCATCATGAGAAGCTGAAATGTTGATTTATACCTCATACAATTATTTTTCCTTCAAATTCTAGGTAAACTGTATTTCTTTTCTGATGGAATTCTGTTCTGTGATCCCCACCATGGCAGCATTTCCATTCCCAAGAACCACATGAGCTCCATTTCTCTCTATGATGGGGTGAGTGTTTTGTCTCTTCTTTTTCTGTCATAAAGTTTCCATCAATATTTAATAAAAATGGAGTCCTGGTGCAAAGTTTAGATTGAAGTTTTAAGTGTCTGTACAACTGTAATAACTGATGCAAATCACTACAGTTTTGGTGCTGATTAACTGAAATTAGTGAAAAAGGAGGAGAGAATTTTGTCTTGGAGTTAGCAATGTGCTGTTAACAGTGTGAAAACTGCTTTTTGTTAAAAGAAAAATTACACAACATGACATTCATCAAATATCTCTCAGTGTGAAGGCATGGATAGAGAAGAGTTCAAGGTGTGGTGAAGTCATGGAGGGTGAAATTCTGCCTTTTATTAAAAATAGAATTGAATCTCTTCCTTGGCCACCAGAGCAGTGTTCAGGCTCGGTGGGAATTGAGGGGTTAATGATGGCAGCTCAGCTCTGTCCACCTCGAGGCAGAAACAGTGGCTTAACCATCACTTCTTCAGGGTGGAAAAGAGATTATTTGTGTTGGTTACTGTTTCCTAAACACTGAGGAAAAAAAACCCAAAATCAGTTTCCTTTAGTTTCCCTTTTGTTCAGGTACAGTATTCCCCATTTATTCAGTGACCTCCCTCAGCATTGTGCTGGGTGATTTCATCCCACAATACAGGAAACCAGTCAAATACAAGAAAAATGGGATTCAATTGAGATGAAAACACAGCAGCTCAGAGAGTCTTACCTTAGCTGCCTTTTCTTGGACATCAGATTGATTGCCCCTCGTTTCAGAAGCTATTTTAACACTGACCTTCCTGGGATTGTTTGACTCAAGACACTCACTTTCAGAAAAGTTGCTATTTCTGGGACCTGGCCATCATTCTTGAAATGATGCCAGATTTTTGTGTGAAGCTAAGCCTTGACAGGGAGTGTGTTATTGTTCTACTGACTTGGCAGAATATGAGGGTGGAGGGTTTTGAAACTGTTAAGAAGTGACAGGAGAAGCAGGGGAATTGTTGCTTGCTCTTTCCAAAAGTTCCTGCAGCAACATGGATGGAAAAGAAAAAAGAGAATGAAATGTTCTGATTCAAATAAAAGATAGCAGACTTTGAAGTGATGCAAAATGCAGTTTTTTTTGTTTTTTTTTTTTGCAGCTTTAGCATGATGCCTGTGAGATATTCTTCTTTTTAACTTGAAAATATCTGGAATTCTGCTGCTGTGCTGTGAGGAACTGGGCACTGAGCTGCCCCTGAGCTCCTGAAATCCCTGGCACTCACGTAGGGCAGGGGAGATTCTGGCTATTCATCAAGGGAACAAATATTACCAAGCAATATTTAGATTTCACAATGACATGAACATCTTGTAAAACTTGGAGCTGGCTCCTTTCAACCTCGTGTCCATGGGGATTATTGCTGCTGCTGCTGCTGCTGCTTTTCAGCTTTTTTCAATTTGTGGAGCCCAAAATGTTTTCCAGGAGCAGATTTTGTTGGACACTTCTCGTGCTGACAGCAGCATGGATGTGTTGGCCTTGAAGTCACTTCTCAGGAAATCTCTAAACCATCCTGAAGAATCCAGGATCAGTGGAATCTGTTCCAAAAGCCATTTTCTCTTAAAAGAAATTGTTGTCTTTGAGGAGAATATTTTTGTATATTCTTCAGTGACCTCAGTGACTTTGAGAGGATTATTTTTATGATTAATCCCTCAGTCAGCAAAGCAGAGAGATTCTGTTTGCAAATGTCTCTGAGTTGATACCAATTCTTATGTAACAGTTCCCCAACTTGAGCTTTTTCTTCTCAACAATGAGTACAGTGAGTTCTTTGCCCATTTCTATTGAAAGTGAAGGGGATGCCACTAAAATTCAGATTTGAGCCCTACATAATTGAATTCCCATTTCCCAGAAATGCTTCATGCTTCTAAATTGTTCTGATTTTCTAAAACTTTGATGTGAAAAGGGTTATGAGTGAAAAGGACTTGAATATAAAACACTTCAGCATCCTGCAGATTTGTATATAAAATCCTGACCTGGATTCCACAGTCATGGAATGGTTTGGCTTGGAAGGGACCTTAAAAACCATCTTGTTTCACCCCCTGCTTGGAACTCCTTCCACTTTCCAAGGTTGCTCCAAGCCCCATCCAACCTGGCCTTGAGCACTTCCACCACTCTGGGGAAAAAAAACCCCAAAACAAACTAAAAAATAACCCAAAGAAACCCAAGTCAGTATTTTCTCAGAAAAAAAAAATGAACCTGAGTTCAGTTCTTCTGAGGGAAACACAACCTGAGGGCTTCAACCTCCCTTGTCACCTTTTTAGGTGGCACAGAATTTCATCTGCTGTCTGTGTTGGACATGTGGCTGTAGACAAAGAGTTGTTTGAAGCAGCAGCAGCAGAAGATGGGTCTAAATTTTGGTGTGGACAAGAGAAGATATTAAAATTTAATCTTTGTTTTCAGGACAAAAGTTTAGTGCTTCACTCAAACTCAGATCCTTTGTTTTGAGCTTGTGATATCTCCAGTACCTGCAGATATTTGTGCTCCACCCCTCCTGCTCCATCTCTGTGCTATGCAAAGTGGAAAATATTAATTTTACCTTGCCCTTTTTCTTTCTTTTCCAGGATTCCAACAGCATTGTTGCTGCTCTCTTCATAGACTTCAAAAGTTCTCTGCTTCCTCATCTCCCCATTGAATTCCACACCCAAAACAACTTTCTGATGATTGCACTTTTCCCCAAGAGAAAGATTTATAAAGCTTTTTATTCCCAGGTAAAGTGGGAAAAGTTTGGTTGGGGTGGGGGAGAAGCCACAGAATTGCTCTGTGTGTGTTTAAGATGTGTGAGAAACTCCAATTTCTGTAAGAATTTCCAGTGATGGTGCTGCTCCTTGTGTTTAATGCTCCCATGTGCTTTCACTTTGCCTTCTGGAGGCAGCCAGGGCTCTAAAATCTCCTTTTCTGAGCTGCATTTCAGTGTAGCTCTGGTGTCTAATTTGCTGCAGGGATTGTATGGAGTGGCAGAGGTTCCATTGTGTGTTTTTGTGGTCAGACACATTTGGATCTTGATCCTGGGGGAAGTGGAGTTAAAGTTTTTCAGTCTCCCATATGGCATTGTATTATTCCCTAAGCAGATTGGCTTCTTGCATTGTGCTGCAGAGGCTTTTAATAAACCCAACTTTATAACAATAGTGCTTTTGAGGAAATGAGCCTGGAGATTTTAGGGCTTCACAAGGGTTTTTAGGATGTGCTCATCACACTGGCTTGGAAAAGACCACCTAGCTGAGTGAGTAGTCCCCACTGCTCATATTAATGGTCCCATAAAATGTCTCCTCCTTTTATCTTAAGTGTTTAAATTCCTCCCACTGTTCCACTCTGAATGGTTGGCAATCTGTTGTTTGTTTGTATTTGAATTTTCAGCCTATAATATTAATTCTACTTCTATATCTGTTTTATTTTTCTTTTCTCTACCAGAACACATCCTCGAGATACTCACAAATCTCAGACCTATTCTTTCTGCTTTATTTGGCCTAATAAAACAAAACCAGATTCTTTTCAATCTATGCCTATAAAATGTTCTTTTTTCTTCTGATAGCTGTAATGCTTTTCTTTTGATCTGGTTTTTGGCTGTAGATATCCAAACTGTTTGTGGTATTTGAGATGAGGGTGTTTGTTTCCCCTATTGCTTTTTCTCAGGGCTATTTATTCCTGTCCTCCTTTGAGTTAATTTTTTTGGTGAACAGTTCCACACTGAGGTTCATTTTGGGCAGTTCAAGTTTCTCATCTGGCACCACACCAGTTGCTTTGCTCAAGCAGATAAAACAAATCTTTTGTCTTCAGGATGTTCTCTCATGAGCAAAACTCTTCATCAAATTGACTCTACCTGATTGTGTAAACCATGGAAATCTATTATAGTATTTTGTCAGTATTTACCTTCAGGTGTTTATTGATTTCCTCCAAAATTCTTTCTAAAACTCTGTGTGCCTCACAGGTTACAAAGATTCACTGAAATTTAGGTGCTGCTTCTACTCTTCTCAATTATCTGGCTTGATACCTCACTCACTGGAGCTGTACTTGGATTATTCCAAGCCTCCTGGAATAAGGGAATTACAACTGCCCTGTTACCCAAATCTGGGTTTGTTAAAAACTGAGATGTTGAACCCACAGAGGTGAAATCTGCTGTGCAGGATGAGGTGATGCCTTTCCCATCCTCACTCTAAAGGATGCAGGAGGAAAATTTATTTAGGCTTTGGGATGTGTTAATTTCTCTCATTTTTTTTCTTTGATGCCACAACAACTCTTTTTTAACCTTTCCCTAAGTTATATATAAAAGGTTCTGATACATTTCTTCTGGGCCTGATATATTTCTATATTTCTAACACTTGCTAGCCTCACCTATGTTTTCACTTTATCCCCAACCCTTGGACTCTTATGGAACACAAATTTCCCTTGACCATTCCTTTTTTCCATCCCTCCCAGGCATTTCTTTCAGTCCCTTCTGTGTGTTTTGAAGTGGTTGTTTCTTTAGTTGTGTGGATCCTTCTGCATGAGCAATATTGCCTTTGTTAATATCCAAAGTATATTTTATTTTGATGGTTTTTATCTCCTAGCCTTGTGTTTGGGATGCTGAGTTTTTAATGGAAAGCAGTCGTGTCCCCCCCAGTTGTTTTGTCTTGCAGACAGTTATTGTGAAAAATGACAATGGCTGTTGCCTTTACTTATGAAAAGAAGGGAAATTCCAAACACTGACAGCACTTTGTGATTCATCTGAATCTGATTTCTAGGTTCCCAGTGCCATTCAGATTAATGTGTCTTGGCTGGAGCAATTGGATGGGAGCCAGAACATTCCTTGGAGAAACGAAGGGTTTCCTTTTCTTTTGGGAGGGAACAGAGTTTTTCTTCAATTTTGAGTAATGATTGCTGCAATCTCACCTCATGAAAATTACAGCAGTGCTTCAAAGGGACTTGAATTAATTCAGTTCCTTCTGTAGAGCACTTGGGCTATAAACACCTACATTTCTATCAGGGAAAGCGAGGCCAGATCAGTAAATTCCTAAAGCACTTCCAGTCTAACCAAAGAAAAGGTTGCAAAATCTGATCAGTGGATTTGGATTTTAAAATTGGAAGGGACCTTAAGGCACATTTCATTCCACCCCCCCTTCCACTCTCCCAGGTTTCTCCAAGCCCCATCCAAAACTCGGACATTTCCAGGGATGGGGCAGCCACAGCTTCTCTAGCAGCAAAACTTTTATTGTGCAATATTAAATGGCTTAATAATAAATGTGAAAATGTGTCTGTTTTTTTAGGTGAGCAAAACCAATTCCTAAACAAATTCACAGCAAATTTGAGAAAATAATGACACTCATGCATAGATCTGCTTTATTCCAGGTTTTCTCTTCATGGCATAACCAGACAAACTCAGGATTATCTTTAAGGGTTGTCCCAGAAGAATTCCTATCTGAGGAACAAAAGAGGCTGTAAGTTCCTGATAGTACAGTTACACAGAAGCTGCAATCAGAAAAATGCTGTTATTTATTGGTTTTGCTAATAATTATTTTTAAAAAATGGTGCATTCGTAGTGCAACATTCACTTTATCTTTTTTTGTACCATTTAATATGTACCCATGTGGTTTAAAGACATGAATTTTTTAGGTTTCTCCTTTAACTAATTAATTAATTTTCTTCTTTTAGGCATTCCAGTGTTCAGAAGCTCTTCAATGCCTCTTTTGCTTCTGGGGAAAGATGCAGGGAGCTGAAACTGTCTGCTGCCATTCCAGGATTGGAGAGGTGAGAAATTACTTTAGTGTCCAAGGGATTCATTCTGTCAGAAATGAGACAAAATTGTTTTGGTAGATGTGATAGCCATCTAAAAATATTTCTTAAATAATTCTCTCTTTACACTAGGATGTTTTTATTCTGAGATAAAGTATTTCCTCTCTAGCTTAACCTTTTCATACTCTTGTTTTAGTAATTTCCCAGTTATTTATATGGATGAAATCTTTTTTAGTAATTTCCCAACTATTTATATGGATGAAATCTTTTGCTGTCAATTGTAATGAAATAAACCTTTTATTTTTGGAAGGTTTATGCAGCACTTCACAGTCAGCAGTGTCAGCACCAAGCCAGTGATGAGGGCACATCTTCCTGTCCTTCTCCAACAGTCAGAAACCATTTCTGACAGTAAAGCAGAAGGTGATAAGGTAAGGAAACAACTCCACAATAATTCCTAACCCTCATATAGAATATTTGGAATGTTCTGTCAGTAGTTCTGTTGTAGTGTGATAAAATACTAATCCTGTTCAGCCATGCTCTGCCTCCTCCTCCACTACCACCAGTTTTTTGTCTTTTTTTTTTCTGGTTATATACTTAATTCTTTTCCATTTAAACAGTCTTTTGGAAGTACAAATGGCTTTTCAACCTGGTGAAATAGAGGCAGAAAATGAGGTGTAGATCTTTAAGTGAAGTGTTTTCTCTAATGTCCAGAGAGACTTTGCCCTAAAGCAGCAGCTTGTTTTTATGAATTGCTGAATAATTTAACTGAATTGTTCTCTGGAACATAAAAGTCCTTTAAATAGCATAGAGGTAGCACATGATATTTAACATTTGCTGATATTATCTGTATAACAATCCTTTCTCTATAGGGGCAATAACAATTGTCCAGTTTAAGGTGGGCTTTAAATAGCATTTTCAGAGAAAATATTTCCTTGGAGCTTCCCAGCTTTTGAAATCTGCTGAAAACAAAGCCAAAGCAGCAGGAATGTAATCTTTCCTTGCAATATTGCTGGGGTCTGGTTCAGAGACCTTTCTGACTATTAATAAACCCTCAGGAATGTTTTAAAATCTGATTTTTAGATTGGCTTAACTGTGGATTTTTAGAAAAGAAAGAAAAATCATATGAATCATAGAAAAGAGCCTTTTTGGTGTCTGCACCAGTGTTTCTGTGGTTATTTTGTGTTTAGACTTCCCTTGTCCTGTTTCTGTGTTGCAGGTGATCATCACCATCCTCACTGGGCTGCCCGGGTGCCGTTCCAGCGACCTCTGCTCTTTCCTTATCACTTTTACCAAGGAGCACGGGAGGTTGGTGCAGCTCAGCTTACACTGATCACCAAAAAACAGCTTGGCATGAAGGCAACAAAAAAAAATTATCACTGTTTCATTGGGTGGTTTTTAAACCTCATTTCAGGCTGACAGGTAGATTCAGCCTTAAATTTATACATTTAGACAGAAAAACAGCACAGGAGATTTCTTTGCTGCCTATTCCATGTGGTGAAGAACTTCCATTTATTGATTTGTAGTGATTCTAAAATTTTTTTTTTTTTGTTTTTTTTGAGAAAAGACTGTACTAACAGTCTTTGCCACAGCATTGTTTTTAATTTAGCCTGATTTGAGGTACATTCAGGACATCTGTTGTATGCAAATGAGATAAATCTGCTATAGGAATTTCCCACTCTGTGTCTTGATAGAGCTTCTGAAAAATAAAAAAAAAAATCCTACCCTTTTAATTCTTACAGCCAAACACCTTAGCATTTAATCTTAGCCATGTTCTGCACTGTTCTTTTACTTTTAACTCAATGTCTTGATTTTATCAAGTTGATTCAGAACAGTTTTGTGCTTCTGTTATAGGGCAAACACGTAAGGTGACTTTTGAAGGTTGTGTAATAACACATCTCCTCATGTTTTCCTGCAAATGTCATTGTTACTTTCCTTTTTTGCAGTGAAATATTTTCATGCCCAGAGTCTTGAATTGGATTTGTCTAATTTTTGTTTACTGCATCACTGCCAGTGATCAGAATTACTCATATGATGTACAGCTTTGAAAAAAGCTGGTGAACATTGTTTTATTGAAAAACAACAAAAAACACCCACAAACCCCTTTGGCAGCCATGTAAAGAATGTGCATATGCTGGAAATGATAGAAAGCCAAATAAATTCCCCTTCCCCGCGTGGAACGAGATCATGATGAGAGATGTGAAATCTTTGGGCTTGTCAAACTTCATTTTGATGCTGCTTGAAAATCAGTGCTCTGGTTTGAAAGCAAAGCCAGTGAGAGACTCCAAGTCTGAAATATAATTTATTAGAAAAAGGTAAAAAAAAAAAACCAAACAAAATACATAAAATAATACAAAACAAAAACTCTTGAGAGAGTCAGAATACAACCTGACACCCTGTTGGTAGCAGTGCAGTTGAAATGGTGGCTCAGCCCTCCTGCAGTGCCAGCTGTGGCTCTGCTGGAGCAGGGATCCTGCACAAGGGGGGAGTTTTCCTCTGCAGCTCCAGGGCTGCTGGAGATGGGCCTGGGCTCCCTCTGGCCATGCAGGGCAGCAGAAGCTGCTCCTCTGGCAATGCACTGGGCAAAGGCTGCTGGGCTGTCCCAAACCTCAGATTGGATCCAGGTAGGAATGCTTAGCTCCTCCCCTGGGCGGAGCATCTCCCCATGGGATGATGGAATTGGATCAGCCATGCAGGGACACTCACTGGCCATGGACAGAAGAGAATTAATAATGAATGGCCCATGAACAGAATATATGTCACAGGCATATTTTATGAAAATTTTTTTCCTTAAGATCTTTTCTCTTGAGAAGCTGAGAGGCCTCAGAAACGAAATGCAAACAATAATTATCTGATTATCTGCTGCTGTGGAATGCAACAGGTGCATCTTTGATTGGTCTGATGTGGTTGTTTTTAATTAATGGCCAATCACAGTCCAGCTGTCTCGGACTCTCTGATCAGTCACAAGATTTTATTATCATTCATTCCTTTCCTTGCTAGCCTTCTGATGAAATCCTTTCTTCTATTCTTTTAGTATAGTTTTAATATAATATATATCATAAAATACTAAATCAGCCTTCTGAAACATAGAGTCAAACTTCTCATCTCTTCCCTCGTCCTGGGACCCCTGTGAACACCACCACAAACAATTAATGATTAATGGCCCATGAACAGCAGATATCTCCCCAGAGGGAGGATTGGCTGTGGAAGAGATAAAGAAAACTGCCCAATGAACAGCAGAGAACTGCCCCACCTCTAAGAGATGGCAAATATAATACAGATTGCCTTCAATCTAGGACAATAGGGAGAAAACAGAAGTGTTGTGTGCCAGCTCCTGAGCTGCCCTGCTCCCTGTGTGTGCCCCAGGTGGATTGTGTATCGGCAGACCATGGACAGCCCGCAGTGTTTCAGTGCCTCCCACTTCCAGCGCTTCCTGGCCGGGCTCCTGGAGGCCCAGCAGAACCTTGGGGTCCATCAGCCCACCCTGAAGAGCACTGGGAAGCCCACTGGGAAGAACAACAGGCTCCTGGTGGTGCTGCAAGGGTAAAGAATCCAAACTTTTAGAACTGTTGTGTAGAATAAGGCAATTCTGGTTTACTTACGGACCAAACTCATCTTTTCTGTCCCTGTTGGTTTTGTTGCTCCTGTTGAAATGTGTGCTTAGCTTTCCTCCCATGGTCTGGGTGCACTCACAGCCCAGAACCCCTCTGTGCTGGGCTGGTCCCTCAGTGTGGGCAGCAGGGGAGGGGGGATTCTGCCCCTGTGCCCTGCTCAGGTGAGATCCCACCTGCAGAGCTGCCCCAGCTCTTAGGTCCCAGCAGCAGAAGGACCTGGGGGTGCTGGAGAGAGCCCAGAGGAGGCCATGGAGCTGCTCCAGGGCTGGAGCCCCTCTGCTCTGCAACCAGGATTGGAGAGCTGGGAATGCTCACAAAGCTCCAGAGAGAGCTCTGGACCTAAAGGAGCTCCAGGAGAGCTGGAGAGGGACTGGGGACAAGGGATGGAGGGACACAGGGAATGGCTTCAGCTTGAAAAAGGGGAGATTTGGGTGGGATATTGGGAAGGAATCCCTGGCTGGGAGGGTGGTGAGACCCTGGCACAGCTGTGGCTGCACCTGCATCTCTGGAAGTGTCCAAGGCCAAGTTGGAGCAGCCTGGGGTAGTGAAAGATGTCCCTGGTTGTTGCAGGAGGTTGAACTAAGGTGACCTTTAAAGGTCCTTTCCAACCCAAACTGTTCTGTGATTCTGACTCCAGAACTGCCAGCAGAGCTCAAACTGTCAAAAACCTTGTTGCCTGATAGAGCAGGTGATAACAGAGGAGGGCTTAGTGATGTGTTTTGGATAAATGCCATTTTCCTTGTGGGATAAAGGTGAAGACTGAGCCACCCACCTGTGTCTGACATTTCCATCTCCAGTGTAGCATTTGAGAGCCAGGATCATCTTCTGAGTCATTAGAAGGTGACACAAACCAGGGTGAGGGAGGCACTACCCTGATGTGGCTGCAATGAATTCCAGCTCATCCTTCTCACTGAGGATGTGCAAATGGAGCTCAGCATTTTCTTCATTATGGTCCATTCTGATAGTGTTAAAAACCATAATTTTTTCCATTTTGGAGCCAGATTGATTTATTTTTTTTGTGTAATTAGTATGGATGGTGTTAAATCCATTGATGGGCAAAATTACTGATATTCTGGTAGCACCACTGGCTTCAGGAACAGATCACTGGAAGTTTTTAATTCTTTATGGGTAGTTGGATGTTGGTGTAGACAGCTTTAGAGTATCTGGAATTCTTTAAGTATCCCATTCAGCTGATAACTGAATAAAAGTTTATAGATAAAAGTTTGTAACTGGCTGAGAAATAAATACCTGAAATGAAAACTCAGGTTCACCTAAGCTTGATGTCATACAGAGATAAAATGCAGCAGTGGTGGTGGCCCTGATAAAAAAGGGATGCATTAGTGGTAGAAACATGTTTAAATTGGGATGCTCATAAGTGAGGAGGCTGTTATTTTATTAATTTTTAACTCAAATTGTGCTTAATTTGCTTGGCATGAAGTGTTTGTGTTATATTGTGCTTTTTGCAAGCTGGACTTTGCAGTTGTTCAGTGCAAAGTTTACACTGTTTTTCTCTGGATTGTTAATAATTTAATTTTAATGTAACTTCCAGTCAGTTTATTTGCTGGATTTGCTTAATTTGTCTGGATTTGCTTAATTTGTCTGGATTTGCCAAGCTCTGAGCTGCTTTCCATCTCATTTGGTAGCTCTTTTGGAAATCCAGTTTTCCTCCAAGCCATCCATTTCTTCCTGAGTAGGGAAGTGTTCTGGATCTCTGAACCCATTTTGCATTGTGGATTCTTGCAGGTACACTGATGTTATTGATGTTGTGCAAGCTCTGCAGACTCACCCTGACCCAGATGTGAAATCTTCTTTCATCATTGGAACAATCAACACCTGTGTGGAGCCTCTGAGCTGCTACATGGAACACAGGTGTGCTTTGAAATGTTTGTACACATTTAAGAGCAGATATGTCAATTTTTGGTATCACTTTTATAATAATTAGTTATTTGTGATGGTTAAAAGCCACTTAAGTCCCATAAAATTGCTTAATAATCCATCTTGGAGGAACTTGGAAGTGCTGTTTGGCTTATCAGGATGGCACTTGGTTTCCACTGGGTATATAATTATATAGAATATCAGTAGAAGTTCAGCTCCAAGAGAAGTTCAGCTCCTAGAAGAGTAAACAAAGATTGTTTAAGCAAAAATCCTCTGGTTAAGGGCTTTGTAAATCTGAATAATTTTCTTTTTTGCAATCTTGTAGTCAGGCAGATTAAAAATGGAGATGTGCATCTCATGGGTTATTGATTCTGCCACTACTTTTGGATGTTTAAAAAGACTTTACAGGTTTCAAATATGGAATTGAAGGGAAACAATCCCTGAAATGGGGAAGGGAATGACAAAGCACGGAAGCCAAAGCATTGCAAGTGTTAAAATCTGATATCCTGGGTTACTTCAGAGCCAGGGTGGGGAGGAAATGGTCACAGAGCCAAGTCACTGACCTTTGGAAATAGTTTGGTTTCATAGTAAATGTGTGTGCTCCAAACTTCAGCAAACATGGGAAGAATCATTTCTCAGACCTACCTGTAAAATTGTAACACTCCAATTTTTTAATTATGCCTTGCAGCTGATTTGATAAAAGTAAGTTCCAGCAGTTAGAGTTTTTGGAGTTGGTAGCACTGCTTCTGTTTGTGACCAAACTGTGCATCACAGCTTAGAGGAGAGCTGCCCAAGCAGTTTCTAAAAGTGCATTCCTGACATTTCCTGGCTGTTTTGAGACACTAACCAAGGTGCTGCTTGTGCTTTGCAGTAGTCAATAAATATTTAGACCTTACCTTGCTGCTTCTTCTTGTCTCTGTGACAAAGATACCAACCAAATATTAAAGATTACATAAAAAAAATTGGTGAATTGATGCTGGAGTGCTGTTTAAACTTGTTCTTTCCCTAATTCTAGGAAAGACAAGTTCCATTTCTGTTTTATTTTTAACTTACTAACGTGTTTTCCTAGTCCTGGTACTGTGTAGTGTTTAGCAGCAGCAGCAGCCTGCAGTCCTTTCACACTGTTTTTCTCCTCAAGTGCAGAAGCAATTGAAGGCAGAGGCTCAGCCTTGCTGCAGATTATTTCTGTTTTGCTTTGGAGTTTGTTCTGACAAGAATTTCCCAAGCAGCCCCACAGTGCCAATGGCAAACCTTGCAGTTGGGAAACTTTGGTGATTTCACTGGGAGAATGGAACAGAGTGGATTTCATGTCTGGCTTGAAACTTGCACTCAAGAAAATCAAACCCATTTCCTGCCTCAGAGTTCAGCACTGCAGAGATCCAGCTCTTCCATGAGCATTGCCTGAAGCTTTTCCCCATTCTGAATTAACAGAGCAGGGCAGGGGAGAGGGGAAGGGAACAGGTAAAATGCTCTTCTTGAGGGTTTCTGTCCAGGATAAAGCTCCTGAAGAGAATTGTCACATGTCTGACACAGCAGCAGAAATTGGCATTCTGTACATCCAGTCTTTCTGTGGAAAGTTCCCACTCTTTGAAAGGCACAATTCTTTAGGGCAAACTTTAAATTCCTATTGTTTAAATAAGAATTAAAATAACATTGAAGCATTTTCTGCTTCAATTCTTAGAGTTCTGCTTCTATTTCTTAGAGTACAGAAGAAATTACATGGTGGGAATTAGCTCTTAAATCTGTTGGAGAATTGAAACCATCTACAAAACTTGATTTTTGGGGGAAAAGTCCTGAAAGACATAACCTGTGAGGATGTTGCAGTTACATGGATTGAGGAAAAGAAGCATGAAAATGGTTTGGTTTGTGAGATTTTGTCAGCATCCAAGTGAATGTAAATGTTTTACTTAAATAATAATATCCATTCTTGATATGTGAACTTTTTGGTTTTTTTAGGCTTCTTTTTCCCAAGTTCTTGGACCAGTGTTCCCAAGGTATGTGTCACTTTTCCTGACTTTGAGCTCTAGAGAATTGGTCATTGTTGAAGGAGAAACTGCAAAATGCCCAGGACAAGAGTAACTGATTTTCTTACAGTCAAAATGCTGCAAGAATTCCAAATAACTGAGCCATGTGGCCAAATAAATACCTGTATTTATTATTTCGTGCTATTAGTACATGTAGCCAAAGAGTCATGATAAACTCTTGGAGGTAAGAACAGACAATCTCTGTCAAACATAGGCAGAAAATGAAAAAATTCTGGAGTATCATCCATTTTGAAGTCCTCATGTGCAGGATGGGTTTCTTAAAATCATGAATTAAACATTAATAAACTGGGTTGTAACTGGGAGTGAGGTGGATTGGATTGGAGTTCCACCCTCCTTTGGGGATGTGTGAGGAAATGGAGCTTTCCTTTCATTTCTGCTCTATCAAAAAGGGAAAAATGGGGATTTTTTCCCCAAATCTTCCTCTTGGTGTGGCCTGGAGGCTCCTTGCAGGGTGTTCAGTTTTCTGTCCTGGAATCAATCACTGGCTGCACTGTCCTCCCTGCCAGACTTGGGAATTAAAGCAGGATTTGGCATGAATGGGAAATGATCCTTGCTCAGCTGCCCTCAAATCCCTGCCCCAAGTGTTCAAGGCCAGGTTGGGTTTATTTTTGGGTTTATTTTTGGGTTTATTTTTGGGTTTATTTTTGGGTTTATTTTGTCTTCATATTTAAATGGAGTTGTTGGAAAATCAGAGTAGGATTCTGTGCTCTTCTGGTGGCTGCTTAAATTCTGATTGCTCTGCTTGGCTGCCAGAGTGCTGCCACCTCTTTTTCTTGTGTGAAGAGAACCTTAAAGAATGAAGTTGTGAATAAGCTGGACAGAAAGTGGGTGCTGTTATATAAATCAATATTTTATTTGGAGAAAAGTGTTGGTGCTCCAAATCGGAAAATTATCATGTGTACAGCAACTGGTTAAATTGAAGAGAGCAGGAGAATGTTAAGAATATTAAGAACTATTAATAACTACAGAGAAGTTAAAGGTGCAAATTGTTTTATGAAAGAATAAATAAAACACTCAAAGTTTTCTCTTTCTTCAAGTGAATTTGTGCAGACTGGATTGGGTGAGAATTGGTCATTGTTGAAGGAGAAACTGCAAAATGCCTAGGACAAGAGTAGCTGATTTTTTTGCAATCAAAATACTGCAAGAATTACAAATACTGGAGGTTGGAGGAATGTTCTTGTGGCAGGGAATAATTTCTGCACATTGCAAAGTGTTGCCATCCAGGTCTGTGATACAGAATGTGACATCAGATGGCTGAGAGGTCCCTTTGTGGAAAGAAATAGTTTCACAAAAATAGGGGTAATTTTTGTGTAAAAGGTTCAGGAGGAAAAGTGTGCTTTGAAGTGAGATGAGGCCCACTTAAACTTTCCAGACAGAGGCAGAATTGTGCCATGTGTGCAATAGAGATTTTACATCTGCATAATTCATAGAATCACAGACTGGTTTGGGTTGAAGGGACCTTAAAAAGCATTTAGTGCCAGCCCCTGCCATGGCAGGGACAAATTCCAGTGTCCCAGGGTTCTCCAAGCCCTGTCCAGCCTCTCCTTGGATGCTTCCAGGGATCCAGGGGCAGCCACAGCTGCTCTGGGAAAAACTGAGAGAGAATCCATTATGGTTTCACACACCTGGGAATTCATTTTTGGTGCATTAACAGCAAGATTTAATGAGACATTCACACAGAGATATTAATTCATATTTTTGGAATGTTGTGCACCCCAATATTGTTTGTTTTGCTGTGTTACCAATGGGTCAGGACTGTGTTGTGTTGGGTTTTGGATTTATTTTTGTTTTGTTGAAGTTGGGATTGGAGGTACAGGAGTGGCAGGGAGTGCCCTGGCCAGGCACACACAGAGCAGAGATTGATGGAGAAGGTACCAAGACTGGTTTGGTGGTTTTTGGATTTATTTTTTGGTTGAAGGTGGGATTGAAGGTACTTGAGATGAAATTTTGTGTTTAGATTTAAATGTTTATTTTCTAAATTTATATTACAGTTTTATAGGTAGTGAGTTTTGTATTTAGTATCTTACTAATAAGGCAACTATTTTTTGTTACAAGGTTTTTTAAGGTTAAACTAGCTAATTAAGAAATGATACTTAAATTGTTTTTACTTTTAACATAATAATTAATTACTTGAAATCCACAATGCAGACTTTTCTGTCTAATTACAAAATCCTACTTAAACTTATGAAGAAGGTGAAGAAGAAGCTTTTGTACTAAAACTTTTATTTGTTTTATATATATTACTATATTTTAAAACCCCAAACTCTTAAGTTCTTTACTTTGTGATCTTAAATGCTTTGAACTAAACTACACACTTGTAATTTAAGTGTTATTAATTAATTTTGGAAGCTTTCTTTATGGTCAAATGTAGTGTTTTCTTGGGAGTTAGGGGCTGTTAGTACAGAAAGTCTAAAATTCTCAGTATCTAGAGCTCTAAGAGTGTTGTACTGGGCTTTGTAGAGATCTGAAACCAGAACTTTGTGGGTGTAAGAAAAACCAAGTAGGAATTAATTAGTAGGAATTAATTAGACTTTGGATCTGTGCTTTTTCCTTCTACCTTCACATGTGGGGAGTGAGTTTCTTTTGCCTTTTAGTGCCTTTCTCTGTATCACAGAGGTTCCTGGACACGTCATCAATGTGAGATTTTCCAAAATTTCTGTTTGGAGAGCCCCAAGACTGACAGAGGCAGATGGGGATTGGGGAGAGCTGACAAAGCCAAAGACCAACAGGAGTCTCCTGTGCATGCTTCCTTAAATTTCTCCAAAAATTCCTGCCACCATCTGTGTGCTGTAATTCCCTTTTGTCTCTCTTTGCTTTCTTTGGTTTTTTTTGTGTCTTTCTATCCTTTCTTTCTTTCTTGCACAGGAGCTGTAAGATGATACCTTCCTAGTCCAAGGGCACCCTGGCATCCCTTGTGAAACAATTTCATATAGAACACAAATTAAGACATCACCATTGTTAAATATTCCCATTGTAAGTTTGGGAGCAAAGAGGAGCCATTATTTTCATACAGCATATGTATTTTTAATCCATCCCTCCTGTTCCTTTCCTGCTTCCATTGAACATGCTATTCCCCAGGCTGCAAGGGTTCTTTTCTTTAGAGGAGTGTATAAATAAAGATTTAAACAAAACTGGGTGGTCTTCAAAATGCATCTCTTAGAAACAGAAATGGCAGTGGCAGTTTAAATAGAAAAGGTTAAATTTGTTCATTACTGAAGCCTTGGAGGCACCTTCCAATTCTCAGGAAGTTGTTTTGTTTTTCTTTGGATTACACTCCCTGTTGTTTTTTTTTTAAATTTAGAGCTTTTCCAGTTTATATTTGACAGTTATGGATCCTCTCTAGGGCTTGGTGCTGCCAGTTGTCACCTGGACTCAGTGGCAGCCCTGTGGCACAGCCACACGGTGGTGGTGGCTGATTCAGGAATCCCAGAATGGTTTGGGTTTGGGAAGGGACCTCAAAGCTCATCTCATTCCAACCCCCTGCCACCTTCCACCCTCCCAGGCTGCTCCAAGCCCCATCCAACCTGGCCTGGAATAGTCCAGGGATGGAATTGTTATCTTATTCAAGGTATAATGATCTTATTCACATTTTTATCCTAATTTCATGGTTAATATCCCCAAACTTGATATCATTTCAAACCTGCACATGGCTTAAATTCCAAAGAGCACTTTGCTGTTCTCCTTCCTTTTTCCCCCTCCTCCAAGAGCAAGTGTGTATTGAAGACATGGATGTTGCTGAAAGTGGAGTGGAAACTTCTTTGCAAGGTTAAAAGAGAAATCCAGTGATGGAGATTTGTGCTGGTAATGAAGTTCTGCCTTGGAAGGGTCAGTGATGCAAAGAGCAGTCACTGGGAGCGTGTGGTGCAATTCAACAGCTCCAGAAATATTTGGTGCAGGAATTTGTGTGTGAAGCAGCCTTTGCATGGATAAATGTGGTTTAAGACTTGTGTAAAGACCAGGAGTTGGTGTGATCAGTTGTTTCATCTTTGCTTTGAGTAGTTGGAGGCAGAGGAAATGCTCAGCTGTTCCTGGATATTGGAGATTTTCTGTTCTTCCTTCCACTCCACTTGGAGTCACAGGAAAGTGTCCGAGCAGGGCTGCACATCTTGAGCAAAGAAATAACATTTCTTGTGAAATTACAGAATTGTTTAAGTTGGAAAAGACCTCTAAGACCATAAAATCCAATTATCAACCCAGCACCACTGCCCAGTTCCCCATTACCCCTGTCAAGAGCCACATCCAAGTGTTCTTTGAACACTTCCAGGGATGGGGGCTCCACCACTGCCCTGGGCTGTCCAGCCCTTTCCATGAAGAAATATTTCCTAATATCTCATCTAACCCTCCCCTGGCACAACTTGAGGCTGTTTCCTTTCCATTTCCTCTCCATCCCTCCCATTCAGGACAATGCAGACATCCTAGGGAGGCACCAAGTGTTGACACTGCAATTTCTTTGAGGAACTGGGCTGAAAGTCAAACCATGTAGAATTGGAAAGCAGGGATCCTAGAACTCAATGAACTGGATGCTTTTCTGTTATCTTTTTGATGCTTCATGGGTTCAGTCTTGCTGTCTGAATAACCTTTTGGTGTCTTTAAAGATAAAAAATAAGCTTAAACCCTTCTCTTGTGGCAACTGAGTGTCCAAAATACTGATTTTAGCTGTTCAGTCTCTTACTGCACATTGAATTCATCACACCTTAATGTTCTTTTTATTTTTTTTTTAACTAGTCCTGCTCAAATTGATTCTTGTATGGATTTGTTATTTTAATTAATTGGTTCTATGGATTGAGTCTAAATTGATTCTGTTAGATGAAAGATTCTCTGCTTGGTTTTTTTTTTTTGCTGTAGTGGATTTTCTTTTTGTCTTCAATGAAAGAATGCAGTGAAAGGGACGGAAAATAAGAGAAGAATGGTTGGAATATCACTGAATGGTTTATTAGTCACTGTTTACATGCCTGAACAGTGTAAAATATCCCCTGATTTCCTTCCACAGGACTGGTGAGTAATGTGGTTTTCACAAGTCATGCCACAGAGCAGAGGCACCCACTGCTGGTGCAGCTGCAGAGCCTGATCAGAGCAGCAAATCCTGGAGTTTCCTTCATCCTGGCAGAAAATGGGATTGTAACAAGGTAACTTCCAGCAGGATTTATTGCTTTTGGCACATGGGCCACCAGCACTCAGAAACTTCTGTTCTCATGTTTTTACTCTGGTGATTTATAGGAAGGAAATGCAGATTTTTTCTTAATTGCTTCTCGTGCAAAAGGGATTTTCCCTTTACGTTTATGGGCATATAAATACAGGGATTAGGAAATGTGTTTTGTTGGCAGAGTGTGATTTATGTTGCTGTTACTGCCAGACTAAAGGAAAAGTGCTCTTAATTTTACTGTCACTAGCACATTATGTTTTATGTAAGTAGATGGTGGCCATTTTATTCAACTTAGAAAATTAAAAATCTTCATTTTTATCTCTTTACAGGAACGAGGATATTGAACTAATTCTCTCAGAAAGCAGTTTTTCAAGTCCTCAGATGATGAGAGCTCGATATTTAATGTACCCTGGCTGGCAAGTATCTAGACTGAGAAGTATTAAAACTATTTTTCTAATTAACTTGAAGATTAAAATGTTTCACTAACTTCATTTATATATATATTTTTTTTTTCCCTAAGACTACTCATTTGGAACAGGCAGCAGCTTTGTAAATCATTTTTAAGAGAGCTGATGATTATTCTTAGTGGATACAAGATTGCTGCCCTTTTTTGGGGGGGCAAAAAAGCTCCTTTTTGGCCACCATTTAAATCAATGGCAAGATTACTGTTGCTTTCCAGAAGAATAGGCAAGAACCCTTTGGGAATAAACTGGGAAGGATTGGGATGGGTGAGGTCAATAATGACTGGAGTAATTTCATCCTGACAGCTATTCAGCATTACTGGAATGAACTTGCTCTGTCAGTCTGGCCATTAGCAGAGCAATTCTTCACAAAAACCAGGAACCTCAGTGACAGCCCTGGCACAGCTCAGCCACAAACCCACGTGGCACCAAATTTCCACTGAGCACTGAAGGAGATTTCTCCTGGCTCAGGGCTCTTCACACATCTTGTTGCAATTCTTTCTGCTGCACCTTTTTGGCAGAAATGTGCAGCTCTCAGCAATCATAACTCCTGGCTGACCAGGCTCTATGCTGGAAACTTTTATTTATCATACCTTGCTGCCCTCTGTATCTCTTTATTAATAAATTTGGTTCTGAATTGGATGCAAGGAGCCAAGTAAAGCTACTGGAGTGAAGCACAAGGCTTGGGGTGAGGATGTTGAATTAATATCATCAGAGCTGCTTGTGGATTGCATGGAGCCAAAGAGAGAGAGCAGGAAAAGAAAATATTTCAAACTTTTGGGCAGCTGTTAATCTATTTGATGACAGTATGCAAAAATTGGATCTGGGTAGTGTGAAAGAGAAGGAGAGCAGCAGGAAGAGCATCAGAAGCATCCAGGAAGATCTTTTTGCAGCCTTGCAGTACCTAAAGAGGGCTCATAAAGAAGTAGAATGAGTTTTGACATGGGTAGATGGTGACAGGACATAGAGAAGGGTTTTAAGCTAAAAGAAGAGAGATTTAGATAAGATGTTAGGGAAAATTCTTCCCTGTGAGGGTGCCCAGAGCAGCTGTGGCTGCTCCTGGATCCCTTGGAATTGTCCAAGGCCAGGTTGGAACCACAGGGCTTGGAGCACCCTGGGTTTGTGGAAGGTGTCCCTGCCCATGGCAGGGCTGGGAATGAGATGATTTTTAAGGTCCATTCTGACTCAAACCATTTCAAGACTCCATGAAAAGGAGTCCTGAGTGCTTTGACCAACCTAAGTTTCACAGAGAAGAAATCTCTGTGTTTTCCTTCCTCTCTGAGCAAGGCTCATCTGTGGTGAAAGAACAGATTTTTTTTTTTTTTTTGCTGGATGAGAAGCAGAAGCTGCTGTGATTTCTGTGTGTTGAAGGTGTTTGTTGTTTTTGTGTGCAGGTATGAGGGCAGATACGGGGCTGGGCCCGTGTTCCCTCCCATGGTTCAGATCTGTGTGTGGTTCAGCCGCCCTCTGGAGAAAACAAGATTTGTCACCAAATGCAAAGGTACCAATGAACTTTGCCTGACTTGATTGAAATCCAAGTTTGGGATGCTGAGGGATAGAGGGGAAGGAAGGCACTGACGTAACACAGTTATTTAATCACTGCTGAAGTTAATTTTTAATTGAAAACTCAGCTTTCCTTCCTAAAAGTACAGTAAATTCTGTTCCTTAGTGTCAGCTCTGGAAAATTGTCCCATGATTTTTGTTCAGATGAAAATCTAATTGAATTTTTGGTTTGTAGGACTGAGACAACTTCCTGTGTTTGCTTTTTTATTTTATGTCTCATTGTATTTGGGAGTGTTGAAATACAATTTTATAAGTGACCATTGGCTTCTACTTTTTATGCCAAATAATTCTTTGTAGCTCCTAGAAAACAGACTCACCTCTAGAGTAGATACATCATCAAACATCTCCTCTCCTTAACCAAGTAGGGTTAAAGAGGATTTTACCTCCCACCCACACTGTGAGAGTTCCTTATGCCAAACACACCTTATTTCCCAAACTCCATGGCAAAGAATGAGAAAATAGATGTTACATAGTGAGACTCCAAGGCACATGGCAGCTTTTCCTTTGGAAGCATTGGGATGTGGGTTAGGGATCAGTTGCACAGGTTTTACCTGAAGCTCCACCAAGGAGAAGAAAGATAAGTTGAGACAATCTGTTTCTCTTCTGTTTCAAACAGCAATTAAGTCGTTGCTCAAGCCAAGTCCTTTTTCTGGAAACATTTATCACATCATGGGCAAAGTGAAGTTTTCAGGTAAGGGCAAATTACTCTAAGGTGTTGTGATCACTCTGCACCTTATGGGTGTTTAAAAAAGTATTTCTGTCCTGGATTCTGTCTGCACCAGTGCTGATGTTAGATTAGATTAGCAATTGTCAGACCTTTCCTTCTGTCTTCCCCTTGTTAGATGCTGATAAAGTCATTGAAGTGTGTCACAACACAGCAGCAAATTCCCTCAGCCTGGTGCCTGTTCCAGAGGGGCCAACTCCTCCTGATTCCAGAAATGATCCCAGAGACTGCAGCAGTCAACAGGAATATTTCCTTGTGTTCATTGGCTGCTCCCTGAAGGAAGAGGATATCAAAGATTGGCTCAGAGAAACTGCAAAACAGGTTTGTGGGCAGGTTTCCTTTTGTTCAGTGCTTGGCATTTCTTAACACCCAAAGGAAAAATCTGAGTGGCTCAGTGAAACATTTGGGTTTCTTAATTAATCTCTTTTTTTTTTTTTCCCTTCTACCAAGGTATTGACATTCTAGGGTGCAAATGGATTTCAGGAAGGGGACTAAGAGTTTACAAATGTGTGTTGTAATCTCTGTATTGTTTTAGTGCTTGCTACAGTTTATTCATGGATTGATTTGCTCTTGAATGCTTGAGCAAATGGATTATGTCCAGGATAAACACAGGATGATTTAGCTGAGCTGTGATTGCCAAGGGCTGAAGTGTGCTGTGAAATAAATCTTCTTCCAGTACCTGAATGCTGGCAAAACTGAAAATTTGTTTTGATTCACTAAATTAAACCTCCTTGGAAGTAATCCACTGAAATGGAGGGTAGAGTCCTGTTCACTTTGTCATCTTTAATTAGTGTATTTCTGCATGGCTGATGTATCCATGCAATGAGGAGTGAGGAACAGGGAATGTGGCTGTTGTAGGGAGCTCAGAAGGCAGAATTTGCACAGGGAAACTGCCACAGCTGATTGACAGAATCACAGATCCATAAAATCCTGCAATGGTTTGGGTTGGAAGGGGCCTTAAATCCCATCCAGTTCCACCCCACTGCCACGGGCAGGGACACCTTCCACCATCCCAAATTGTTCCAAACCCTGTCCAGCCTGGCCTTGGATGCTTCCAGGGATCCAGGGGCAGCCACAGCTTCTCTGGGCAACTTTTTGGAACATTTTTAAGTAAAAATGATTTTTAAGTCTATATGGATTAAGATTTGCACAATGTCTCCCTCCAAAAATTTGTGTAGGAAGGGAAAAGGGTTTTCTGCAGATTGTGGCTGGAGCAGTTGCTAAAGTTCCAAGATTTCTGAGATGCTCAGGTTCTCATCTTCTGTTCCCCTGTATTAATTCAGGGAATTAATCCATTTTCTGTGCTGATTATCTCATGCTCTGTTCTTACCACAGGGGTAATATATGGAGACAAATGCTTTGCCATGTAAGAAAGCTCTTGGTGAAATACTACTTAAATTTTATGAAAACTTGGAACTTAAATGCTTATCTCAAGTGTGAAGTGTTTCCTCTTTGAGCAATTCAGGACTATAAACACTTTTTATACAGTCATGGCTAATTGAGGGTTTCAGATAGCTCTAAGAGTTACCACATGCTGCAAGGAAGAAAGGGATTACAGAATTTCTCAGGCTCAAAACTAAGTTGTTTTTCTGTTCCTGTGCCAGCTTTCTTACAGTAAAGCTGTATTTAAATTGTCTTGTTTAAAATAGTTACAGAATTTTAAATTTCTGAGTGTTTTCTGTAAGATCAGTGAATTTTTACTTTTGTTTTCAGAACATAGTTGTGAGTACCTTCATGGAACTGCATAATTTTAGAAATTAATTTTTTTAAATACATGTTTATATGTAGTGGCTTGGCTTTTTTTTTGTTTTTAATTTATTTTTTAACCAACTAAGCTGTGGTATCACATTATCACTGTAGTCACATAACTGCAATCTCCTTCTTCCTACAGAAACCTCAGAGGAAAGCCCTGAAAACCAGAGGAATGTTAACCCTTCAGGAAATCAAAAACATCCACGTGAGTAGAAGCAATAATTTACAAACCCTTCTTTTGGCTGATTTCCCTTAAATCTCCATCTGGATGACAGAGCACCTGCCACAACAAGTGTGCTGAGCACTAAATTATTACAGCACTTTTGGAGCTGTCAGGGAGGGATTTGAGACATAAATCTGATCTCAGAGCTCCACATTCACTCTGGAAAGTAGGAGAAGATGTAAAATTGGCCATCTTTGGTTGCTGTAATGGCCCTTCCATTTTCTTTTATCTATTTGAGTTTCTAATAGGTGTTTAATATTTGAGTTTCTACAGGTGTTTAATTTAAATTCTTTTCCTGCTGCAGGTGAAACGCCACTTGGATCCACTCCCAGCTGGTTATTTTTACAATGGGACTCAATTTGTGAATTTTTTTGGTGACAAAATGGATTATCATCCATGTATCCTTTAAAATGGGGGATTTTGGGGAAGGTTTTAGGTAGGCAATGAACTGTGCAGCTCTGAAATGCTAAGTGCCAAAGCAGATATGGTAAAGAACCAGTTCCTTGCCAGCTAAAGCTTAGTTTTAAAGCCTTTCTTGAGAGATAAGATCTCAGAAACAGAATAGAAGCAACAAAACAAACCCCAAACTGCCCATGAGCTCATGCAGGGAATAATTTATGGACCACAGCTTGTCAAAAATTTTTTTTCAAACCAAATAGTGCTGTAATAGCACTGAATGCCTGGGCACGACTGATAAAACTTCCAAATGAATGTAATTTCATGTGTGCACACACTCCAGTGAAAACAATCATATTTTTGTCCTTAGTTTTACCCTGGGATTCCTTGCCAAGGTTCCTCTTGTCCTTGGTCACCACCTGGGGCCCTGGCTCAGTGGTGGCCATGGCAGTGCTGGGTTAACAGCTGCCCTTGGCCATCTCAGAGGGCTTTTCCAGCCTAAATGATTCTGTGATTCTCTCATTTTCATAACTTCCTTGTGCTTTTGTCTTTGGTCACCAACTTCCAAATTGGTTTTATATTCCCAGTTTACTTTTCACAGTAATTTCTCCAAACTTGGTAAAAATCCAGGTGGTGCTGCTTTGGAATAAGAGCAGAGTTATTTTCTGTGCCCTGTGGGACAACTTGAAAATTTTAAGCAGATTTCTGTCTGCAGGACACCAAACCCAACAGCAAACTTGGACTTCACTGGAAAATTCTTGATGCTCCATCCCTGGAAGTGTCCAAGGCCAGGTTGGATGGGGCTTGGAGCACCCTGGGATAGTGGGAGGTGTCTGTCCATGGCAGGGGGTGGGATGAGATGGAATTTAAGCTCCTTCCATCCCAAACCATTCCAGGATTCTTCACTCCACCTCCCCCTTGGTGTTTGGCAGGGAAAGCTGCAGGCCTGGTTAAGCCTTTCTGGGGGATTTGAGTTTTGGGCAGAGTTTTAAACTTTTAAACAGCTGGAAATGTGTTCACAGAGTCCCAGAATGGTTTGGGTTGGAAGAGACCTTGAAGCTGATCTCATCCCAGCACCTTCCAGGGATGGGGAGTCCAAAACCTCTCTGGGCAACGTGTGCCAAGGCCTCACCACCCTCCCAGGGAGGAATTTCTTCCCAACATCTCATTTAACCCTGCTATGGTTTTGCTGTTCTTAGATCTTCCTCCTGGCTGGGAAATATCCCTTGTGCAGTTCCTTTATTCCCTGAGTTGGGGTAGCTCTGACTTCTAGAACTAGAAGTTCTAGAGAACTTCTCTAGAACTTCCAGAAAGTAATATATTGAATTTCTGCTTTCACTGAGTGTCCCAGAACTGGCACTTCCTTCAAACCTGGATGTTCTTTTCTACTAAATTCCATTTGCACAAATGTTCTTCCTTCACCTGTCCCAACCAGTAATGGACCAGTTCATGAATGATTACTTGGAAGAAGCCAACAGGGAAATTGAGAAGTACAACAGGGAGCTGGAGGAGCAGGAGTACCACGACCTCTTTGAGCAGAAGATTTAAGCACGTGGATCCTGAGTGTTCCTGTCCTTGTGTCAGGAACCAAAAATGCTGTTTTGTCCTTCTGGCTCACAAGAAATCGAGTGAAATGTCTGTTTTCAGCACTCCTTCCCAAACAAAGGGATTGTTCCCCTAAGGTTGGCATTTAACATGGTAACTGCTTAGCTGTTTGTACTGTCAGGATTGCTTCCACTTCACCTTAATTCCAGACTGTCCAAAGCATCACCTGGAATCTCTGGCTTGTGGTGGAAACGTGGGAAAAAAGAAGAAGAAGGAGGAGAAAAGAAGCAAAACTGGATTTATTTCCTAAAAAAGGTCAGAATGTAATTGTGGAATTGGGCCATGGTGCAGATATCAAACAATTCCTGGGTGTCCCTTGGAAATCGTTGCACAGGAGCATCGATGGTCAGGGGGGAGCTCAGGATGTGGGATTGGGGTTCCCAGAGCAAGAAATGGGGGAACAGACTTGGAAGAGTCCCCAATCCCAGAACTCTTTGGGTGTTCCTGAAGCAAAAAATGGGGGAATAATTTAAAAAAGTAAGAGAGTCCCTAATGCCACAACTGCTGTTGGGATGTTCCCAAAGCGAGAAATGGGGGAATAAGGGGAACAACTCAGAAAAGTCCCTAATCCCACAGCTCTTGGTGTGTTCCTAAAGTGAGAAATGGGGGAATAGTGGGAAAAACTCAGAATGGAGTCCCTAATCCCACAGCTCTTGGTGTGTTCCCAAAACAAGAAATGGGGGAACACTTTCTTGGAGTCCCTAATCCCAAAGCTCTTGGTGTGTTCCTAAAGTGAGAAATGGGGGAATAGTGGGAAAAACTCAGAATGGAGTCCCTAATCCCACAGCTCTTGGTGTGTTCCCAAAGCGAGAAATGGGGGAACACTTTCTTGGAGTCCCTAATCCCAAAGCTCTTGGTGTGTTCCCAAAATGAGAAATGGGGGAACAATGGGAAAAACTCAGAACTGAGTCCCTAACAATAGCTATTGGGATGTTCCCAAAGCGAGAAATGGGGGAACAATAGGAATGACTCAGAAGAGTCCCTAATTCCAGAGCTGCCAGGGTGTTCCCAAAGCAAGAAGTGGGGGAACAACAGGAAAAACTCAGAATTGAGTCCCCTAATCCCACAGTTCTTGGTGTGTTCCCAAAACGAGAAATGGGAGAATGGTTCAAAAATTTAGAATCCCTGAATCTGCAGCTGTTGGGATGTTCCCAAAGCGAGAAATGGGGGGACAATGGGGAAAACTCAGAATTGGGTCCCTAATCCCACAGCTCTTGGTGTGTTCCCAAAGCGAGAAGTGGGGGAACAGTGGGGAAAACTCAGAATTGAGTCCCTAATTCCAGAGCTGCTGGTGTGTTCCCAAAGTGAGAAATGGGGGAACACTTTCTCAGAGTCCCTAATCCCTCAGTTGTTGATGTATTGCCAAAGTGAGAAACAGGGGAACAGAGAGAAAAACTCAGATGAGCATCTAATCCCACAGCTGCTGGGATGTTCCTAAAGCGAGAAATAGGGGAGCAATGGGAAAAATTCAGAACTGAATCCCTAATTCCAGAGCTGTTGGTATGTTCCTAAAGCAAGAAATGGGAGAGTGGTTCAAAACTTAGAATCCCTGAATCTGCAGCTGTTGGGATGTTCCCAAAGCGAGAAGTGGGGGAACAATGGGAAGAACTCAGAATGGAGTCCCTGATCCCAGAGCTGTCAGAGAGTTCCCAAAGTGAGAAATGGGGGAATGGGAAAAGCTCAGATGGGCACCTAATCCTACAGCTGTTGGTGTGTTCCCAAAGCGAGAAATGGGGGAACAATGGGAAAAATTCAGAATTGGGTCCAGCAATTCCAAACAATCCCACAACTGTTGTTGTGTTCCCAAAGTGAGAAATGGAGGAATAGTGGGAAAAACTCAGAACTGAGTCCCTTATCAGCAGTTATTGGGGTGTTCCCAAAACTAGAAATGGGGGAACACTTTCTCAGAGTCCCTAATCCCACAGCTCTTGGTGTGTTCCCAAAGCAAGAAATGGCAGAATGGTTCAAAAACTTAGAATCCCTGAATCTGCAGCTCTTGGGATGTTCCCAAAGCGAGAAATGGGGGAACATTGGGAAAAACTCAGAATTGGGTCCCTAATCCCAGAGCTGTCAGAGCATTCCAGAGTGAGAAATGGGGGAATGGGAAAAGCTTGGATGAGCCCCTAATCCCACAGTTGTTAGGATGTTCCCAAAGTGACAGATGGAGGAACAATGGGAAAAACTCAGAAGAGTCCCTAATCCCAGAGCTCTTGGTGTGTTCCCAAAGCAAGAAATGGGGGAATAACAGTGGGGATAACTCTGAAGAGTCCCTGATCCCAGAGCTGCTGGTGTGTTCCCAAAGCAGGAAATGGGAGAATGATTCAACACTTGGAATCCCTGAATCTGCAGCTGTTGGGATGTTCCCAAAGCGAGAAATGGGGGAACATTGGGAACAACTCAGAAGAGTCCCTAATCCCAGAGCTGTTGGTGTGTTCCCAAAGTGAGAAATGGGAGAATGGGAAAAGCTTGGATGAGCACCTAATCCCACAGTTGTTAGGATGTTCCCAAAGTGACAGATGGAGGAACAATGGGAAAAACTCAGAAGAGTCCCTGATTAACAGTTGTTGGGATGTTCCCAAAGCAAGAAGTGGGGGAGCAGTGGGGAAAACTTAGAACTGGGTCCCTGATCCCACAGCTGCTGTTGTGTTCCCAGAGTGAGAAATGGGGGAACACTTTGCAGAGTCCCTAATCCCAGAGCTGCCAGGGTGTTCCCAAAGCGAGAAATGGGGGAACAGTGGGGAAAACTCAGAACTGAGTCCCTAATCCCAGAGCTGCTGGGGCATTCCCAAAGTGGAAAATGTGGAAACAGTGGGAACAACTCTGAACTGAGTCCCTAATCCCAGAGCTGTCTGATGTTCCCAAAGTGAGAAATGGGGGAACAATGGGGAAAACTCAGAACTGGGTCCATGATCCCACAGCTGCTGTTGTGTTCCCAGAGTGAGAAATGGGGGAGCACTTTCCAGAGTCCCTAATCCCAGAGCTGTCAGGGCAATCCCAAAGGGAAAATTGTGGAAACAGTGGGAACAACTCAAAAAAGTCCCTAATCCCAGAGCTGCCAGGGTGTCCCCAAAGAGAGGGATGAGGGAACATTCCCACCCCCAGCTTTGCCAGGGCTCAGCCCATCTCAAACCTCAGCACAGTTTGAGTCTGCACTCGAAATTCTGACTTTAAAGAAAAGCTAGTTATACATTTCAGGGTGAAATCAGTGGAGAAATCTTAATTTCTTCCCAGTGCTCTCACTGGGATTCTGGAAAATATTTCCTGGCTGGCTGCAATGTGCACCTTGCTTAGATTATCCCTGGAGGATTCCTATTGCAGTCCTAAAAATGAGGCAAGGCAAGGCAAGGGGGAGATTCTTCAGCTGAGGAATTCCTTTTCATGAAGATAAAAGGTAAAATGATTTCCAAAGGTAAAAAATAGCAAAGGATGTTACTTGAAAGAGGCAGGAACTTGTTTGTGGAGCTTCCAGAAGAGTTTGCACACTGTAACATTTCCCTGTGCTGGTGGGAAATCAGCTTTTTAAGTACTTGCAACAGAATTTTTATAGTTCCTAAATGATAGAACAGGAATGCTGGCAGCCTGTCCTGACTTAATTCAGTATCATTTTAAAGGAGGCTTTATAAATCCCTGCCTGAAGGATTCTAAAGTACCTTAGCAACTACTTACAGGTAATTATTGGAGTTTATTTGAATAAGCAGATTATTGTAGCATGCATGTGTTCAGAATTTAGGTGAGAGCAGCCCAGCAGGAATTTTTTTATTTTCATATTCTTTTGCCTTAGGGACAGCTCAATCTTTTACTGCAACTGCAGCTTTTCTTTCTGACCAGATGTTTGTGATACAGCAAGAAATGGAATGAAAAATCTCTTGCAGGACACTTAAAATACTTCAAATGTGTCTGCACAGCCTCATCCCAAGGCAGGAAAATGAGATTGAACCCCTGTCATCAAACTTGAGGCTAAATTAGAGCTTATGCTTTGCTAAGAGATGTATTTTTTACCTTTGGAATATGAAATAAGTGAAATTTCAGTAACGTGAAGCACATTTTAGGTGGTTTTGGTCTTCATTGCCTGTCCTGTGAGTGTTGCAGAGTGCAGAGGTGGAATTCCAGGTGCTGCAAGCTGGATAGAAATATTGATAAGGTTTCATTCCTTGCTTTCCTCCTAGATTTAAAAAGCTGTCTGAATCGAAGACTTTAGTATTTTATTTTTATTTTTTATTTTTTTTGCACACCACGAGACTTTATATAAAAACTACTTGTATCCTGTTAGAGGCCAGTAAAAGCCAGCAATTAGTTTGTGTTTTTAGGCTTTCCTGGGGTATTCCCTGGATCACAAGTGTGGAGCATCCTGATAAAGCTCGTGAGTTTTATCTATGCATGGCTAAATTTTAGTCTTAATATCCTGTAGTGCCTGTAGAGCAAAGGTAGCTAGCAGTGGGTTTGGGAGGGCTGCCAGGGGTTTACAACTAAATCCAGTTGGTTGCATGAAATGATTTCACAGCCCAGAATTTTTAGGAATGCCAAAATTCTGGTGGTGGGGCTGCAATAAAAAGGGGCATTAGGAAATGGAGCTCCAGTTGGAATTGTTTTGCCAATGAACTCAGTGTAAACCCAGCTGTTCCAGTCCCAGTTCTCTCACCTGCAAAGCCATATTTTTAGAGTAGTGGGATGTGATGTGGGAAGAAATTCCAGTGGTTGGGACAGCAGGCACGTGGTGGAGGCTTTGTCCCAACTCCTGAGTGGATAGAGAGTAGATTTAAGTGCAATTGATTGAAAATAGATGAAGATGCTGTAGCTGATTATTGCTCTGCTGAACTCTTTTTAAGAACTCCAATTTGTGCAGCTCTCAAATCAATGTGGATGGGGCTTGGTCCAGCTGGAATTCCAAGCCCTGTGAACAAAAAAAAAAAAAAAAAAAAGGAAATAATTGGGTTGTGAGTGTGCAAATTGAGGTGTTCCTTAAAAACTGGAGCAGAAGAGCTCGGAACAAAGGCCTAGAACCCTCCTGTGCTGTGCTGCATGTGCTCTATGGTCATAGCTGTGTATTACAAAGACCTTTCACCAGACTGGTACTGGCTCAATTCATGTATTTTGGTATTGAAAGAAATTGATTACCTCAATTTTTATCTCCTTTATTTTTAAACTGTGACTTTCAACCAGAACAAAATAAAAAAAATAAAAATACCGAAATAGTGAAACTGTGACAATGGTATCCTTTAAATGTAGTAGTGCCTTGCAGATGACACCATTTATTCCCCAAATAAATGGGTGTCAGGGGTTGCACCACCCCTTTCTTTTTTTTAAAGGAAAATAACGGTTTTGGTGAAAGGACTTAAAAAAAAATTTAACCTAGTGACAAATATTAGCACAAATGGTTAAACTGTTTAAAAGAAAACTCTTTGAGGACTGAAATGCCTGATGCTGCTGCTGCTGTTGAAGAGCAGTTGCTGATTTTTTGGGAGTCAATTCTAACAATCAGCAGTGCTTTTTGAATTTTTTTTTTATTTTATTTTTATTTTTTAAGAAGAGTGTAACTTTTGTACTCTGGTCAGAGCTGTTTGTACTGTATGGAATCCCCAGCCCAGGGGATTTGGTGTCCTCACTCCTTGGAAGTCGAGGTGAGGATGAAGCTCGAGGTTTGAACAATTTTTTCTACTGTAGAATTAAAAAAAAAAAAGCACCATTTCTAACCCACTGATGTTTGGATACAGCAAAAGTGCCATTACACCTTTCCTTT